ACTCATAGGTTGCCAAAGTATTGTGTCATTATTAAGATATAACATTTCAAACTATTCTATTGAAATTGATAATCGATTTAGTCACCTGTTCAAAATAACTGATGATAATAGTGACAATGTTTACACAGCCATGGAACATATATTTAAAGAATATATACAAATAAAAAATGGAATGAAAGCTATTCATAATAAATTCAAAAACCCATGGTTTGACTATGATTGTTACAACCAGGGCTTCGGAGTCGGAGTCGTCAAAAAATCCGCCGACTCCGATTCCTTTTTACTTCCCAACTTGTTATGTATATACAATGGAAAAGTTTTGAAATCATGTCAAATTTGACCCTCCATGTTTCTTTTGCAAATCTACACATTTGGAGACCTCCCGAACCCCAAAAAAGTCAATAAAAGAGGAAAAATTCGCATGCGTGTGTGTGTTGACGTCTAATTTGTTTAATTTCTTTATTTTCTGTTCTGAGATATTAAACAATATCTCAGAATGGATAAAGTTTAAGAAACGAAATGTGGCACTGCAGCTTGCATATAAAGGGGCATTAATACTATTAAATTTTGGTTCTTAATTAAAGGTTGACAGGGTGAAGCCATAAAAGGGGTCATGTGTCATATGTCTTAATGAATATTTTACTCGTTATTCGCATTCAACATTTAAAAAATAAAAAGTAAAACTCGTCTCTACTCTCAAAGTAAGCTTTTTTGTCATTTTATAATAGTACAGTAAAACCCATTAAGATATTCTCGCCTGTGATGTTAGAATGTGTATGGGGACATGATTTAGTTCAACCACTCTGACGCTTAATAACTAACTCCTGTGTTAAACCATCTGACTCTGATTCTAACCACTCTGACGCTTAATAACTAACTCCTGTGTTAAACCATCTGACTCCAATTCTGACAACTCTGACCACAGAAATTATTAGGCTTCAAAGGGTGAACAAAATCATGCCCCCCCACATACACAAGTTTGACTGGCAACAGTTACAATCGAGATTGTGGGTAAATGGAGATTGAAGTGAGTCGTGGATTGTGTGTGAACACAGTATTACCAATGACGACCTTCAAGAACTGGCAGAATGAGGAATTCATGTGCAACTGGAAAATAGTGAATAGAGTGAAATGTATTCATTGTGTGGTGCACAGACAACATATTGTAGGAAAACATTAAGTACAAGTCTCCATTCATCATTAACTATAATAATTCAAGCTGTAAACAAGATCAAATCCAATGCAAAAAATGACAATTTTTTGATCGACAGCTGTGAATGATGAACCCAAAAAATTTCTCTACAGATTTCCTTAGTGAAAGTTTGGTAACAATAACCAAAATCATTGATGAAATTGTAGCGAATGATCAAGTTTCTGAAAGGAGTGCAAAAGCAAGACGAGGCATTTTGGATGCAATTTCCTGGTACCAACATTTGCTTCGGGAAAGAAAAAAAGTGACAAATGAAACTACACGACTTTATCACAAAAACCAAGAATTTCAGAAGAGCCAGGACCTTCATCACAAAAAATGAACTTTACAAAAAAAAAATATCACTTACTAAAACCATTCTTTAAATGAACTTTACATTTCTGTGCATATGTTTGTGTTATTTAACATATATTATTATGCAAATTAATATAGAAAGAACTTAAAATAAAAGTAAAATTTGTTTATTTTTTGGTTGCATGTTCAAATATGGAATTAATCTCAATCTGAAATGCACCTTGTATTGCTTGTACCAGATGAACCAATAAAACTGCTGCACACAGTTCCATTCTTGGAATTGAAATAGGTTTTAATGGCGCTACACAAGTTTTCGATGTTAGCAGTCTAACCCAAACATTAGATTCATCTGATGATCGCACATAAACAACTGCTCCGTAGCCCTTCTCTAATGCATCACAAAATGCATGAAGATCAATGGGTGTGTAATTGGGTAACAGTATTTTTCTAGGAATTTGAATAGACAGACCTTAACTGTCCTAATTCATTAATCTTCCATTTATGATCAATACACTGAGGCACAGGTTCATCCCAAGATATTTTAAGCCTCCAGATAAGATGTTTAAGATGTTACATCTTAGTTAATATTACAGAGGGGGAAATCCATCCTAGTGGGTGAAATAACCTCACAATAGCTGGAAAATTGTTTGTTGAATTACACTGATGATGATTGAACTCAAAGTTACATACATAAATATCCTCTTTGGGATGCTACTCTAGACCCAGAATTTTTATCACTTTAGTTCCACTAGTTGCATGAGACATGTCACCTAAAGAATCACAATACACATCCTTTAATATTGATGGTTCACTTGTGAACCATTTGTGGAACTCAAATCCACATTCCTGAAATGGGTAATCAACTGATTAATGAATTCAATTATTAGGGAGAGGTCCCTAATAATTGAATTAATTCATTAATCAGTTCATTATCCATTTCGGGATTGTTTACACCAGTCAACATGTCATCCACATAGAAATCTTGTAGTACTATTTTTGCGGCTCTTGGAAACTACACTCTGATCAATTGCTAACTGCTTCGAAGCTCTCGTAGCCAAATATGGGGCTGATATGGTTCCATAAGTAACAGTGTTAAGACGAAAGGTTTATATTTGCATTTCTGAACTCTTTCTCTCCAAACTATTCATTGAAAATCAAAATCTTCAGGTCTAACCGTCACTGTCAATCCATTTGCTTTATGTCAGCTGTTGTTGCAATATTATAACAACAAAATCTTAAAAGAATACTAATCAAATCTTCCTGGGTTTTTGGACCAATCATTAAGTTTGTGCTGCAATCAAACACTACTCTCAACTTGATTTTGTTATTATGTAATGGTGAAGAATATAATAATGTTGATTTTCTAAGTCTACAATTAGGTGAGATTAACTCCATGTGTCCTAAAGACAAATAATGTTGCATAAATTGTCAGTACTGATTGTAGATGTCTGGCAGTGTACCGAGTCTCCTTTCCAAACTGTAAAGTCTATGAAGGGCAGTAACATGAGAATTGCCTAACACCTTTCTATTGAGTTTAAAGGATAAGGCAACATAATATCATCTGTGATCATCAATCCAAACATTTTTCTCGAACTGAATTTCACACAACCTTTCCACCGTACCTAATAATCGAGACAAGGGAATCTTTTTGAGTTCCCAGAACGACCTCAGTAACACACACATATTTACACATGAATGATTCACCACAACTGTTGGACTCGTAGGATTCAAAGATCACCTCGCCTGAGATAATCCATTCCAATTTTGAACTCAATGCAAATGGACTGCCTGGGAAATAAACAATATTTCACTTCCCAAGTCTAATAAACATCGACAATCTACCAGTTTGTTGTTAGAATTGAAAATCTTAATTTGAGCAGTACATAATAGAACTTGGTTGTTTACATTCTTTTTTTGACCCTCCTTCACAATGTGAGGCACAAATTTGAAGTGGTTGACTTACAAACTATCCCTTTTATCATCTCAGGAATAGCTATACCTGAATTTATGGATGGTAGGCTGGTTTGTGGGTTTGACTTGGAATCTACATTAGATATGGAATTTCTTTCTCTTCCATAACACTAGTGAGTTGTGTCTTCTCTTGCAGTTTAAACAAGAAACATTGACAGTGCAATTTCTCACACTGATTTTTCAACAAACAATTAAAACATGGACCTTCCCTTTTTGCTAACTCGATTCTGTCCCGTACCTTAAGCTTCTGAAAATTTGCACATTTGTATACGGAATGGTCTCCCTTACAACAAGCACATTGTCTCTTCATTTGAGAAGCGAGAGATGTAAACTTAGGCATGAATCTTTTATTAGTGAATTTTGGTTGGGTGTAGTTCTAACACAATCCTTCAAAAATTCTAATAAATCATTTAATGGGGGAATATCGTTACCCTTAAGCGAATGCTCCCACCAGCCTCTGGAAGTCGTATCCAATTTTAAATGGTATAATGAACATAAATAATATGCTCGAGAACGTATCTACAGTATATTAAAATTTAGAGCTTCTAATGATTACGGATACACTCTGTAATTGAGTCAACAATATTTAAAATCAGTACCATATTTTCATAATTTAATGTTGGCAAACTCAATATCTTCTTAATTAACAAGACTACCAATTCTCTTTTTTGAGAATACTGTCAGGAAAGTAGTTCCTGTGCAATTTTGATCTAAAATGGATAGGGATTGTATGATTTTTAAAGCTTCTCCTCTTAATGAATACTTTAGATACTGTAGTTTCTGTGCACCTGACAATTTTCCATTGTTTGTAATAGGTTGTAATAGGTGAATGACAACCAATCAATCATTCAAAACTGCCACTAAATGAGGGCAATGTCAATTTATGTAATTTTAATCTGATATTTCACTAGCTTTATCAACACTGGTTATACTATTACTATTCTTCAGTTTTAGATTTGTTCTATCACCAATATCAACTTCTCGATTGAATCTTGTGCTATTTGACTTTCCTCTGTTGGGCTCATGGGATTCAAAGGTCACCTTGCCTGAGATAAGTCGAGTTCAAATTTGGGATAGATTAAGTTGTACTGTATTGAATATTAAAATGTCTTTAAAAAAAACATCATATTAAAAAATAAAAATTAATCAGATTTTAGTATTAAACGTAGCTTTTTTGTCATTTATTGTGGAGCGTGGCCTTGCAATTTTGGAAAAAAACCTCTATGGTTTCTTTTTCTGACTTTAATTTTGTTCAGAAAGGTCTTAATTCATATTTACAAGTCATCAAGTCATGTCGTCGATTTTATATACATTTTGTACATATTCAACCTGCTTTTAGTCCAAATCCTAACCACAGTGCTCCTAGCAAGCAAAAGTGGCTCTAGGCAGAAAATTCTGCTTTGCTCCCTGGCTGGTTACCACGATAATACAAGATAGCAACATAACTACTTACCTTTAGACTGAATTACTTGATTAAACTAAGATTTTTTTTTTGTTTTAATAAATTTTTGAATTTTTATTTCAGAAACCGTTATCCCAAGAACCCGCATATTGCTATTTAATGGAGTTTACTCGCCGTCATAAAGTCACCGATCGACGAATCTGCCGGGCCGAGATGGAATTATGTTACATGGCCTCTACATACCAAAGTTATTTGAGCAGCATTAGGAAACATCGGGTAAATACTTACATAATAATAAAATTTTTCATCAATAATGATGCAATAATTGAGTCAATCATTAATATATGGGGTGGGTGGAAATCTAGGCATTGAGAAATTGCTGTAATCTTTGTAATAATGCTGCAATGATGATAAAATTTTATAATTCCAACAGTGGTGTGGATGGTACCCATGCCTACGTTGAATTTTAAGGTGTGCATCCATATTTCCACTCAATGAGGTATGTGTCAAATACTTCTCATCACCTTTGCATTAGAAATATATAAATTACAGCAATTTCTCGATACCGATATGTCAAGAAATGATGTAAAATTCTTAAAACTCTGGAATTTGGATAATTTATCGGCCAAAGTGCACGCTTCTGTTAGATTTTATTTAATTAACGAGTTGATTTTGTACTTGCATAGTTAATAGTAATATAAAAAATGTATGAATATTGCAATAGCAATATTTCTGTATTGTATTGGTTGAAAAATGCTAAAATGTTGACATAATTTTTAAACCATACGAGCAAATCCGAGGAAGAAGTATTGTTACGGCATCTTTAAATTCTTGAAATGAAACCCATGGGAAAAGAACTATCTCTTGGCTTATCACTTAAGTGACAACCCAATTTGATTTGTAGTGCCAAACTATCTGCCAGATTATTTATCAGGCTGTATTAAGGTTAATTTAATAATTAGATATAAAGCAATTTGGCTAGAGATAGGCGGTTAGATCGCCATCGCGTGATAAACTATGAGACTGTGCCCAAAAATAATCTGATGGATCACTTGGCAATTTAAATTTTTACAAATTCAAAACTGTTTGTGTGATCTGCTGTTCTAAAAGTTGTTCAAATTAGCTAAGGACAAGCCTTGAAAATCTTTGTTTAGTGAAAAATGATTTTGACTTGCTGTAAGATAGTCTACCGAAGGAATTATTTCAGATTAAAGAGACAACCATTCACTGAACGAATAATACAGCTACAATTAGTAAATTCAACAGATTTTGACTCTTTAAAAGAATCATTATTTCTGTATTTTTAAGAAAGAATTCAATGTGGGTTTCAAACCAACAGCTGGATTTCTTTATTGGGCCATTAAGGCTAAATAATTACTAAGTAAAAGCTGGTTCATACTGGTATACAAATTGCTGGTTTGTCTCCTTTTGACAAGTGTTTGACTGGTTTGTTAGGAGTCAAAAATATCCCGAATATATAAATAAAATTTCTGTATAATTAGCCCAAGAAAGGATTCCAACCATTTGTTTGATATTTGAAGTAATAATTCGGTTGATTGTATTTACAATTTATACTGTTTTTAAGGTAGTGTTTTTTATTAAGTATAAAAATAAATGATAAACAACATTGTTGTAGGAACTTCTCGATCGTTATCACAGTCGAGGCGAAAGGAGCGTAGAAGAGACTGCTTCGATGGTGGGATTAGGATTGCCTCCCAAGGAAGACCCTCGCTAATTTGGATACAGGTATTATATTGCACCAATATTTCAAATATTGGATAATTTTAATGACATATAAATGATATTTTTAATGCAGTAGAAACTGCTCGTAACCATTTCGAGAGGTTCAAGTGATGGTAAACCGATAAAATTTAACAGTTGTGCAAATGTTTACCAATATACGATGATAAATTTGAAGTTAATTTACACGTTACTTAAATACAAAATTATTTAAATTTATTGTCCGTCATTAATTTGGAACGTATTGTTAATAAAATTCTTGCTTATGTCAAATGAATTTGCCTGATTTTGTGCTCCGTACCATTTCAAAATCTACCAATTTTACAGTTTCGTATATTCCGGATGGTGGTATGACAGTTTCTGCAAAGAATTTTAATATTGTTGTTTGTGTGCTGGTTTTCTAATACGTTAACGCTTCGGATATTGTGTGTGTTTATACTTGAAATAGTTAAAATTTCAATATTTGAGAACATGCACAAATGATAAAATGACGGTGATAACCGAATTTCTGACTATGAGAAATGATTGTATTCGCTCTGTGCTTTTATAGAATCGATCAAGATCTAATAACCAACAATGCAAGAAATTGTTGTCAGTGACTGCACAGCTCAGGTCATTTGATCATTCTTCCATCTGGCATACTGTATAATTCTTTTTCTGACTGCTTAATCTGTTCTATTTTATGAGGATTCTTTCCAGAAATGGGCTCAGTGTGTACAGATTGTGGTTACTGTGTACCAGGCAATCAAATGAAAGTAGAACCCGTGAAAAGTGGCACAAGGAGTTTAGTAACACCACGAGTCGGTGGCAGCTATGACCAACATAGCTCTGTCACGGCATTCCAAACTCTGGCTGCATTTATATAAATATTTGATTTTATAACACAGAACAATGATGCAATAGACAATGTTTTATAAAATTGCAGTGTATTTTGGTCTTGCTTTGCTTTGCTTTGCTTACTAATATTTCAGATTGTATAGAGAAGTCGAGACGTGACTTAAATTTCTTCCAGGGATATTGGATGTAAATTGGTTTCTCGGTTTTAGTTTCTGGATTTCAGTATTTGATAATTTTTAGTTATAACTTTGAAGAAATGCATACTTGATGGCTACTGTGTGCCACTCTCTGTAGATGAATTATTATAGTTTTAGCTGACTCAGAGTATTGCTTATTGTAAGGGTCGAATATTCAAAATACCGTGTAAAAATGGATGAATGACTTAGAAAAACAAATTGCAAATATACAATCTCTGGCAGGATTTTTAATTGGTCTCAACATCTGTCTTCTTTCGGCTGTCCAAGAGAATATATATAAAAGGTATAGTCTTAATACTCTAATGCCTGGTTAGATGGGGTTCGAGTGCTTAGTAAAAATTAATGACAATCAAAATACACAGATCGATTTATGTAATTATTTTGTTTTGTAATTTACATTGTGCTATATTTTTTAGTAATAAAATTATTATACCTACCTTCAAAAGCAGAATGGAGATTCTGCAGTGCACTGTGCATCTTTAGATTTATAATAGACCAAAACCTTTGTAACAATACACATTATTGTTATAATATCAAATACACAAACTTAAGAAATGTCACCTGGCAGTGTTGGAGATGAGAGTGCATGTATGTTTCATCCAATTGCCTTAGAAAAGACACTAATTATTTCATTCTGTCATTACTCAAGCATTTCTTTTGTCAGAGAAAATGTGAAACAATCAGACACACAAAAGTAAATTTTCTACATATATATATATATTTATATATAAATACAAACAATCATAATGTACAAATATTACATTGTTCTTAGGCAGGGGAACTAATCCAGTATTGTCAATGGGTTCTTGCCGCTCATGAAAAAACAACGGAAACATGGCACGGTCTTTTCTGTCAAATTATTAGATGTCTTACAAAATTTTGGAGCGAGGATGCCAAATAAATTTACACAGGTGATGGAGGATCCTGAATGCTACTCTTAACAAACTTGTTTTTGAATATGGAAAACTATGTTTAAAAATGTAAATAAAATGAACTTTTAATAAATTAATGGCAGAAAAATAGATATATGAGCTGTACATTCTATACAGTTGGGGAGAGCTGTCACAATGTCTTCTAAATGATGCTGGCCGGTAGTTTGTCGAACGTCTCGACTGGTTTTTTGGAAAGACTGCTCCTCCGTCTGGGCACGGTGCTCGACGCATGACAAAGGGCATCCGAGCATCCACTGTGCAGCAACAGGTCTTGAACTTCCTGCCATCCGGCATTCCGGGCATGCGCCAATGGCGTCCTTCCTTCCGAATCTGTGGCCCTGACATTTCCATTATACTGCAAGAAACAATGCTGGTAACCATGCAAACAAAATTAAATCTTAATTTGAACTGAATCTTACCCATATTAAAAGCTGCGTTATCGCCAGATTTCCCAGGGAAGCTGCCAAATGTAGTGGCGTTCTCTGGTCACGAGAACTAATAATTGCATTCACCTGTTCGGAATTGGTGGTGTGAGCCAGTATCAAGGCCACGGTTTTTGCATCGGATTTACAAACAGCATCGATCAATTGCTAGAAACAAAATTAAATGTGAAAAATGTAAATGCTTGCAAGCATATTTTGATAGATGGGGTTAGTCAAAGATCTCTGGGGTTTTAAAAAAGTTGGTACACGTTGCATGGTGACACTAAGGAACAATATCATTATAAAACAAGATTTCCACTGTTCCAGATGGTGGCCATCACAAGAGAAAGCATTTTTCATGCTCCAGTTCCACATGAGTAAATTGGCAACCACTCTTCCGAGTACGGCATGAGAATAGAATAAGTCAATTTGTGCATGGTATATGCAATTGAAAGAATCTGACTGCCTTTGCAACAGTCATCCATCCACCATTGACAGATGGAGTGAATGCAGTGGTGTTACCAACAATGCCAAGAAATACTGCACAAAGGATTATTTACAAATATTTACAGTTGAATCTAAACCGACTGTAGCTTAAAACACCTGTGGATCACGACCTCCATTTTGTCTTCCAGGACCTGCTGGCTGATTGGTTTTCAGTGATTAATCTACTTTTCAGTTTGTTCTATTGCTTACATGGAAAGTGTTTAATCTAGAAAAATTTGTAAAAATGTCCTATAATGTGTTTTATGTGGTTTACAGGCTACTATTGTTCGTGGAAGCAACAGTAATTGAGATGTCATATCTTGACCTGTTGACTGGTTGATATCACAGCTACAAGATAATTTATATTTCTTATTCCAACAAGATATGTGCCTCTGCAGTTTTGTCTCAAAGTTTGCACTGAAGCAAACAGAAATCTGTTGCAACACTGGATTGGACACAGGCATCATGTGACTGATGGCTGTTGCACTGACCTCTACAAATGTCAGACCTAAATTTTTGCAATTGTTTTACTTGTGGGCACATTATGTACTGTACATGGGCACCCACTGCAACATTTGAAGGTCATAAAATGATCTTCGAATGTTGCAGAGAATAGAAAACTCGGACTTGGGGAATTAACTATAAGGTTCCAATTTCCGAACCTCTTGCCCTCAGTTAGAAGGCCCAATGGGAGAAAATGACCCTTCTACACCATGGTGGCTGTATATTACTACTATCTTCTGACATAGTGTTAATAATACAAGTCTTTGGACCATTCCGTCACATTACAGAAGGTGTGGAAGGAACTAGAATAGGTCACACAGCAGACATTGATGCAGTACAGATGTTCAACGTGCACTATAGAAGCCAAAAATCTTTTGCAGTTGCCGCTTTAATTGTTACTTTGTGTCAAGGTACTGTACATTTAATAATGTGTGTAGTTGTACTGTAAAGCCCAGAAGAGTTCCTTTTGACTAACCCTATATACCACCCCATTATTATAGAGTTGGCAAACATTTGTAAAAAGTGGTTGAGCATCATCACATTAAACGAGTGCTGCCAAGACATCGACAAAACGGTTTTTCTCCTAACTATTTCATAATGTAAGTAATGTCCCTGCTCTTGCTTTTTGTGAACATTTTGATATTTTTCATCCAACAAAGCTTGCAGTTTTGAAATTATTGCATAAAGCAGTTTGATATTGTAAGTTTGCTCTTCATTGCCATCCATGCCATTTGCAAATCTAGAATTATTTTACGATTAATATGAAGGGACTTTTCTCCTTGTGGCAATGCAATTATTGCAAAATATTATGTTTGAGTGTTAAAGAAAAGAATTCAACATTGCTAAGATAATCTACATTAAAATTCAAACGTAATTCTTACCTGAGAAATAGGAATGGAGGAATTGAGTGGTGCCAGAAACTCTTTGAATTCGTATTTAGCTCTAATCCATCTTTCCTTCTCTTCCCTAAAATGAAATAAAGGGAAATTAAATATATTTAATAAAAATTCTGTTTGCACCACGCATGCTTGTCCATGGATAAATTGGATAAATTTGACCTGAACAATGCAGAAGATGTGGGAATGGTTAGGAATATTGCTTTGCCAAAGCAGAGATGCATAAAGAGGAACTATATGCAGTGAATTACGTAGAAGGAAGGGAAGGGAAGACTATTTTGGCACCGATCGGAGCATCGAAGAACAAAATGGTGACAATAAGTTATTTAGAAATTAAGGTTTTTTAATGCTAACAACCATATAATGTTTTACAATATTTACAGATGAAGGTGGTTTTTTTTTTTTTTGTCAGGGACTAGAAGATGCAATAGTCCAAAAGAACACCCTTAACATTTCATCATTTACCTGGAGTTTGAGGTACCGGTACATCAAAAGAATGAGAGACCTCATTGGAATGTTAGAAATTATTATTATTCAAAAGACTAACGGGTACTGTACATTGATGAGATAAGAATCGTACAGATGCAACAGAAATGAAATCTCTTATTGGATTCTTTTTTTGATCGATTGTCTAAAAATAACAAACTAAACATAAAAGAATAAATTTAATGGTCCATAGATGGCATGAGAGTCACACTCTAGATTTATTATATCAATCGATTATTTTGGTTCCTTTTCAGACACATACAACTCAATGACAAAACAACTCGTTTAAAGAGGAAAAAAGCCAGAAGAGCCTGTGTATGCAGCTCTGTTTGACTTCGACAAAGACTAAACAATTGTATCGTACCATACATGCCAAAGAAGAAGAAATGCGTAATTTTGATATGAAGTATGTATTATGATGCCAGACTGGCAAAAATTACCACCTATTATAACATTCATAAGGGTGGAGATGAGACAATCAAAAATTACATCATAGAAAGAAAAACTAAAAGGTGGCTGATGGTCACATTTTATTCAATATTGAACATATAATTTGATAAAATCTTATCTGTGCTCAATTCCTTCATAATCAAAAACAAAGGAATTAGCAAGAAGCATTTACGTAAATAATTAAACACAATCTCTTTTTTGAAGTTTATCGTAAGATATACCTTCCAGTTTTCAGATATCATACACAACCTTATAATTGATTATTCATTAGTATGAAGAAGAGTAAAAAATAAATAAGAATTTTCAAATATCCTGGTAACTGCAAAGAATTTGGGATCTTACCTTTTTGTGCTAAGTATGCAAATGTGTTGGCGCGCGCACACCCCTGGTGCAGTAATGTACGTGCATAAAACTTGGTGTCAGTTCAAACTTCTGAATTATCAAACAACATTTGCTTTTTTGTAATGGAACAATGAATTAACATAGTTTTACTACAAACTGGGGAAGAGGTGTTGTAAGACTGATAGTGCTTAGGGAAGTACTGTACATAGCGACAAAACTGTTACAAGAGGTTTAAAGAAGGTACAGGAAATCTACAGATGATCCACATCTAGGCAGACCTACCACACCATGAAACAAATGACTGCCAATGATTGATTGGTTTTGGGAAGAAATTAGATGCAATTAGTTGTTTGCTTTTTTGGCCAGGTTGTCATTTTCCATTGTTTTGCTCACAAAATCTTTCAATATCTCAAAATGCATCATGTTTGCCAGGCAGGCAGACAGATGAACAATCCTTCATTTGTAAAGTGATTATCACTGGGGATAAAATATGGTACTTTCTGTATGACCCACAAATAGAGAGATACACTTTGAATAGGAAGGTACCATCTTGCCACGTCAAAAGAAGTATCAATTGGACACAACATAAGAGCTCAAAGTTTTTGTGTATGACCCTCTTGTTAAAGACTAGTTCACCTCCGAACGTTGCACAGTTAATAGAGAGATGTAAATGCCGTAGAATAGCAATCACAGGAAGAACTGTGGGCTTCAAAATCTCACATGTTTCACCACAATAATGCACCCTTGAGTCAAGTCTCCCCTTTTGTATAGAAATGAAGGATCATCATTTCAAGTTATCCAAAGAGATGCAACTTGCTTCATTGATGTGTCCCAAGGATTGCAAAAAAGGGTTTTGGGATCATTTCCTGGCAGAAGATTGAAGGAAATGTCTGTCAACTGCAACAATGTAATGTCGTATAATCAATTGTTACTGAGCTTATAATAAAACAACTGCAATCATTTATTTTTTGACTCTACCTCATACTGTATATCACAATTCCATCCTCAATATGCAGAGCAGAATAAACATCAAGAAAACCAAAGCTCTGTGCCAGAAGGGCAAGATGATATAAATTGTATGTAGGTAAAATTAAAACTTTATGAATCGTTTTTATCATTTACTATGTACTGGAGAAGGAAATATCTTAGTTAAAACATTTTTTTAAAACTTACAAGAAGCCTAAGAAGATTATTTTAATTAAAACTTAATATTTAAATAATTTTTTCAACTTCCTTGGTGACGCCCTTGTCTGTAGCAATGGAATTGAAAATTGTATGTCAAATCAGCTTTTGATTTTGAACTGAATACTAATAATAAATAAGACACTGTACATGTACTGAAATGTATGTATTCCTGATTTGAATCTACAATTTCTTAAATAACCTAGAATACGGTAAAATAAAATTCCTTGGAAATAATACTCAATGTTTTAGGTATCCGAGCAATATGTTGTTTGCACTCAGAATTAAATAAGAGGGAAAAACAAAGCAGTTTCAGAATGAATAAATGTTGAGATGAGTAAGATATTGGCCTGCCACTCCAGAAACCCAGGATTTAATTGAAAAATCTCAGGAACTTTTTATGGGCTAGGAAAAAGGCCATTGTAAGGTAGGAGCAGAAAACCACAAGTTTTGGTCACTTTTCTGTGTCCTTTTTCATGAATGCTGATACATTAGATGACCAAACAAAAACATACGATGCCACCTAAAGCCAACGTGGCCACTTTTCCCCATATCATTTGAATAATACATTCACAAGCAGTTGTGCCAATTAACTTGTCATGTGCAGAAACAGTCAAGTAACATCAAACTTTGTTTTTGGCCCTCAATAACTTGCACTTTATGTCTAGTGTGTCCCTGGGCAGAAAGAGTATCAGAAAATTTTGGAGTAAGGGTCCACTGGAATATTTTTTTTAAAGTCCATCTACTGCAATGAATCCTTTGCATAACACAACTTTTAAAGTGGATCTCCAGAACACAAACCTTAAATATTCCTCTATAATAAACTGCTAATAGAGATAGCTGTAATTGCTGTTATAAAATAAGTGAAATGGAGCTGTCCAGTGAATACAAAATACCAAAGGACATTTTTTTGTTGTTTCATTTCATGCCAAACGACTGCTGGATTAAATCAGGCTACTTTACCACCAAGGTAGCCTGATTTAATCTGGCAGTCATTTGGCATATTACTAAAATATTGGGCTTTGGGATGTTTATATACATTTTGTTTCATTTATCAAGTAATAACGTGTAATGACCAGTGTTGGTGCTACCATTTAGGCAAACTAGGCACTTGCCTAGGGCACAAAATTTCAATCTATTTAATTTATTATTTTAGTGAAGTATGAATAAAGCATGGTGATATAATATTTAGGTATAGAAAATTTTCAAATTAATTAAAAAGGCTGTTTTTAGGATTACATATTGTATATTATTTTAAAAATTATTTTGGCATACTTCATTTAAAATTTCATTTTAAAAAGTTATCCAAAATAACCTAGCACTGTCACACATTTAAACTCCAAAAGTTTCAATTGTCAACATTATCCAAGTTCATGCATCAATCACACAGTTTCTAAATTCTCTAGGAATTATGCCAGAAATTTATCAGCTTTTGATATACAGTTTCAAGTAGGATGGACAGGAATATAGCAGCATGGGGCAGTTTTTCCCATGCAAACACACTTATGTCACCCCACTTGAGTTTAAAAGTAAACAGTGGAAAAAAATAAAAAGAATGTCACAAGCAATTGACCAGAAAATATCCTACACTATGTGAATAACCATGATGTAAAGAATAAAATTTAATGCTTGTTTTTGTTAAGCCTCTTTTTAAGTGAGAATTGTCAAGCCCCAAACAAGTAAAGGTGTGAGGCATGCGTACCTTTGGTGGTTTGCAGTGCATAAAGAGATGTAGATACCAACAGTCATCAGCACTTTCGACCAATGAAGAAAAGCATGCTCTGAAATCTTCAATAGGGATTCTCCCACCAATGAAGTTTCATAGATACAATCAAAGCATTTTCAAATATCGAGATACTTATATACCAAAATCCAGTGAAAAACAAAAAACTTACAGTAAATTCTTCTTGCTGATCATAGATTTAACCACAGTTGAGAATACATAGGAGCTATAGGCATCCACCTCGGAGCATGTGGCTTACAACCACAACCCTAGCCACGTATGCCACTGATTCCAATATAGTGGGTCCATTTTGACTAAGCCTGCCTCCTACATCATACCAACAAGATGCAACTAGAAGAAATGTGGCAATTGATTTCAAAGAGATGGACTGCGTCCTTCCTGAGTGGAAGAAGTTCTAGGACATCTCCTACATCATCCAACCACAAATCAAAAATAGGTTTGAAAAAATAGAACTATCGTTCCAAGCTCTGTAGCCCAACAATGACCACTTGATGTGGAGAAAACATTTGCCACTAAGTTTTTTCGTTTTTTCTGGATTTTGGTATTTAAATATCTTGTTACTCAACAACATATCCAGTTTTATTGTCGTTGAACTGATGCATTTTCAAAAGTGAAGACTGGGAAAATGAAGAGTCGATTACATCTGTTACATTATACTAAAATGAAATCGAAGTCCAAACAAATTCAAACACCCAATGATGGTAAAATACTTCTATTTGTTCTACTACCATTACTAATTTTTGATATTAAACAAATCTTACCTGCTAGAATTAGGTGTGGGTTTGGCTTTGCCTCGTGTATTTCCTTCCCAAATACCATTGGTGACAGAATTCCCAAGAGCCATCATGACACTGACATGTTCGGGACTGTTAAAATTTTAAGAACTTAAACAATAGCTCGAAAATTTGGACCGCAGAGCTATAAACCAAAAAAGTAACTCACGGCCACTCATCGAGATCCAGAGACCTGACTCGAGAAATGTGAGAACCTAAATTTCTGTGAATTCCAGAACATTCTATACACATTAGAGCACCGATGTTCAGGCTGGCCCAGTCGGGATCTGTAAAATTTTAAATTTAGGCATAAATATTTGGCTAATTTGTAAAATTATAGAGACGGCAACAATTGCCAACAAGAAAACTATAATGCTATTATGCAGACATACCTAGTGTAATTAAATAATATATGTAATGTAAAATACAAGAACTGGTCATTTAATTTGCAGAATAATGCATCATTTTCATTGGTGTCATATACATCTGTATCTTCTGACAATTTGAAATATAATAAGACCCTGCTTAACACTGATTCGATATAATGCGGTTTGCTCGAAGCCTAAAAAAATGCTCAAAATTTACACTGATTCAAATTATCGCTGCATTTCATTGATTCATATATAACAGGAACCAATCAGCAAAAGGTGGTAATTCATTGTAGCACTGTACTTCCCTTAAATCTGTTTGTTTGGTGCAATTTTGGAAAAAATATAACATCGTGGATGCCATAGGCAATATTGACTTGGCTAGAATGAAGTGTGGAAGAAGTTATTGCTGAATGTATCCAAGAATTCTCAACAAGAAGAGCCTATCACTGTATCATTAGGTTGGCCAAATTATCAACCTAATTGATACAGCAGGACTAGGAGATGTAGATGAGCAGGATATTGAGGAGTTACTGCAGGTTTCTGGTGAGAGGCTTACCAATGATGACCTTCAAGAGAACTGGCAGAACAAGGAATTCATGTAGAACTGGAAAATAGAGATTCTGAAAACGAAGAACCCAAAGAACTTGTTACAGATTTCCTTAGTAAAAGTTTGGTAATGTTAATCAAAATCATTGATCAAATTGTAGCAAATGATCCAGATTTTGAAAGGAGTGCAAAAGCAAGATGAGGCATTTTGGATGCAATCTGCTGCTACAGACATTTGCTTCAGGGGGAGAAGTGACAAATGAAACTATGCAACTTTATCGCAAAAACCAAGAATTTCAGAAGAGCCAGGACCTTCGTCACAAAAAATGAACTTTACATTTCTGTGTGCATGTGTCTCTTATTTAACTTATATTACTATGCAAATTAATATAAAAATAACTTAAAATTGTAGTAAAATTTGTTTATTTTTGGTCGTGTGTTCCCCTTTCCCTATTTACTCTGTTAAAATGGCCTTATTTAACGCTGTTTTGCTTAGTGCTTTGTCCTCTAGGAATGCATCCCCCGCATTAAGCGGGTTCTTACTGTCCTGTTATCCTGCCATTGTCACATGCAGGCATTGCATGTTTCCGGAATCTATTGTTTGTGGCAGGACTTGCCTCAGTCGTAACAGTGCCACAAAGATTAGAAGTGCGTGCTCTAGTGTGGTCTATTATTGTTTTGATAGAGAAACCACTTCACATTAACAAGTACTGGCTGTTTAGCATGATAGTCTCTCCAAAAACCTTAGTGAGAGCCATTCCTCGAACAACTGAAACAAGGCCTATGTCAAAAGCTATGACTCTTGCAAATCGTTCACGACTGCATACTGTATTATCAAAACACTTACTAAAACACCTTTTCTTGCAGCCAAAGTTTATAAGAAAAACATTCTAACGTTTTCGGTCTTGTTAAGGTTGAATGGGACCAAGCAAGACTAATGTAGATAGTCCGCGACAAGAAACACCGGCATTATGCGGAAGCCTGGCAGATTTGTAAGGCAAAGCATAAAGGCCTTGCAGTCAACTTTCGAGAAGCGACAAAAATATCGGCAGCATGGTCCTCTAGCTTAATATAAACTCAATAATTGAGGGAAGTAGTTACTATGTATCTTAGGCTAAGTATTTTTGAATAAGGTTGGGAGATGGTTACTATATGTATTTGTGTTTAGATTTTTTTCTGTAATCTTTTTTATATTTCCATTGCTTAGTTCACAATGACGTCATATATTGCAACGGATTATAAGCTAGTTCGAAAATATTCGAAAAACGTGTTAGCGGTACTAAGCGTTTGATTTACAATTTTTTGTTTTATTTGATTTAGTTTTCTTGAGAAAGGTCTTTTAACAAGACCGAAAACGTTAGAAAGTTTTTCTTATAAACTTTGGCTGCAAGAAAAGGTGTTTTAGTAAGTGTTTTGATATGACTCTTGCTTCAAAACAATTGTTAATGACAGGCTATTAATAAAAAACTTAGAAACAGGAATCGACTGGTACCTATGGAGGCCCTACACAAGATTTCAGAGATGCCACAGCATATTTTCCCAGAAATTTACATAGGAAAAAACACAAATGATTCTGCAAATTAAATGATCAGCCCTCGTATGAAACTTACTAGCGGCATCACAGTCGACACAATATCTGTTTCCCGACACGGCAGTTCTGATCGTCTGAATGGAAGCCACGTCAACCGTGCTGTTCAACCGAGACTGAAATAAATGGCTTTTATTACTTATTGCAATGAAAATATTAGATTTGATATAAAGCAAACATTTAAAAATTTCAATATTACAATCAAACTTCAATTTAACATCACTAGCACCACACTTAAACTTTAATTCTTATTATTTGAGTTTATTTATTTATTATATATAGTAGTGGGATCTAAAAACAAGGTTTGAATTTGAAAGTGGTGCGATTAGGTGATGATAATTTAGGGATAACAAAGGATTCTCTAAGTCAATATTTATGGGGAGGATCCATTTATAAACACACTATATTGTGGTTTTGACTGTGTTCTGTTTTAATTTATGTAGGTTTTTGAACTCTGACAAATTTTTAAACAACAACAAAGCATTAAAATAACATACTCAACTTATTGTATGAGAGAGTTGTGTTGGAAATCTCTCCTGTTTTAATACATTGAATAGCACAGAATTTTACATTTAAACATTTTCTGTTTTGTAAAAACATCGTGTGTTGTATTTAAGACGAGACTTGGCTCATATGCATATAAATTAATGGGTCTTTTAACAGTGTGAGTGTGGGATTTCAGAAGGGAATAAGATATTTTGCTGCCCTCCAATAATTTACAGTTAACTTTTCCTTCATATTCTAGGTCATAGTGTTGTTTTACAATTATCCCAAATCAGTACAGCATACGGAATGGGATTTATATTGACCAAATATATATTTTTACCTTTTTCTAACTTTTATAAGTTTCATTTCCTTCCATCAAACTATGCTAATATTGATTTTTAATAATAATTTTTATTTTGTTAGTATATTGTATGAAGAGTGATAGACGTGTTTTGCAAATCTCGTAGAATTACCTGAAGTTTGTGCATTTACATCGAATCGATCAAGCGGAGATTGACCAGAAAGATTCTATCGTAATAATAAAGATTGAGCCGATCCAGCAGTCAGCCACCAAATTTAGGCATCGTGTGTACTTGGCAATTTGTTATAATTTGTAAGATTTTGAATGTGCCTCCATTTTGTTAGTGATTTTGATAAAATATAAAATATTTTGCATTTAATTAAAAGTTATTTACTGAGCATTAGCATAAAATTCTATGTTTATATTTTGAATGAAAATGCCAAAATATTTAAAAATACCTTTGATTTGCTTGTTTCATTCGTTTGAAGACTGGTTAAAATTTGTTGTTCGATTGCACTGATCCAAGCTTCTCTGTCTTCATTGCTAGATGCTTCGAAATGCCACTGCTTGTTGTCCAGAGAAACTACAATAAATTCGTAACCGTCCGAATCTATTAAAAAATTGAAAAATTTCACATATCAATCTAGCAAGGAGGAATTAATGACAAACAAAACAAATTGTATGGGGTCTTACAAAAAGAATTGTAATTATGTTAATTATTATCTGAGAACGTTGTAACATACATTAAAAAACATTGGAAAACCATTCAAGTTTCACAATTTCCCAACATGTGCACTTCGTGTCAGACAGTATGCAACCAACCAAAATTCAAATTTTTCCTATGCTGGCTATGGCACATTGGCAGCCACAATTCTGCAAATTACTCTCACATTGCATAATGACAAGCAATTCACTCTTTGCAAACTGTACAGTACAGTGTCTTCTCTGTTGCTGCAGAATTGCCATTTTTGTTCATGGCCAGAGATGGCAGACGGCAAGACATTTGAATGCAGAATGGAAGATGAAACTCAATTGGTTTACATTGCATACTTCTTGGGTAATAATGAACATAATTATGATAATTTAAAATGGTAGCATTCTTTTTGGTAGACCCTGTATTTTTAGTACAATGTTAATATTCTTAAATTTCATAACATGTTTTTCTTCCTATAGAAATTGTAAAATGGACATTAGCAGAAAATGTGTTTCCAAGTTTCAGATACTAACATATTGAAAACTGTGCGTGCTTGGTTTATGTGGCTGTGGCAACGTGACATTTAGCCGATCTATCAACACGAATGCCTTGCGGGAGGTCTTTTAAGGGAAACTGGTCCCTATTTACATGTTACTAACGTGAAGAAAACCTGGAGAAAACTGCACACATAATAAGTAATATCTAGTACATAGTCAACACAATCTGTGTAAAGCAGTGTTTCCCAACGTGGGGCAATTAGAAAATGGACTCGCCCAGAGTTTAAATTAACCGTAAAGCCGCTGTATATGTTAGGGGGGCATAAGAATTTTAGAAAGGCTTAGGTGGGGCATAGCACAAAAAAGGTTGGGAAACACTGGTGTAAAGTGTAGTTTTGTATTATCTGTATCGGAATTCGCTCAACCTTAATGGGAATGTTCAGCAATAAATAATTTGTGGCTGACATCATCTTTCAAGTTGTCTAACTCAAAAGAAGACAGACCATGTATGGGGAAGTGCTTACCTACCATTTCACATGCACTCTGTGTTCCATCGTACATAATGGTCTAAAAAACTTCAGACCACTTACAATGCCACTGATTTTATCAATATGGGATCCCTTAAAGACTGCAACAATCCACTGGCCAACTCACTGATTTTATCGATATGACATTTTAACACCTATTTATCTCCTCAAACCGTGACCTTTGACCACAAAACTTTAATAGCATCAATGCTTCTTGTATATAAGCCACCATGCCAAATTTCAATTCTTAATCTTTACCCCATCCCAAGATATTAAGCAAAATAGACTCCAACACACATCCATGGATTTTTTTACTTTTTTGGATTTGGGAGGTCTCAAAACGTGGAGGATCAAATTTGACACGATTCCAATACTTCCCCTTGTTATGCATGCATAGCTGACAAAGTAAAATTTATGTCAGTTATCTGTTAGTAATTATCACTAGTTTATTTTATATATAAATATACTTACCATCCATCACTTCTAGATTTCTGATGCCTGTACTTTTCATTCTTCGGTGACGTTTCTTTACAATTGGAGTATCAAGTTTTGCCAACAGTGGATTGGTGCTTGGAACTGCAGGTATCAATTGAGTTTCACTGCCATTTAATATTCCTATTTGGACAAAAAAGTCACCACTGTCAAAATTTAACAAAACAGTTAGATATAATCTGAGTTTCTTGTTTAAAATATTCTTTACGGTAGAGAAATTTACAGCATTTTCAGAAATAAAACTAAGCAAATTGTACCATGAATCTGTTTTCAAACCTTCAATTTTAGAAATTCTTAATGTGTGGAGGGAGGCCCAAAAGTCACTTAACCAAAACATAGAACCGGTTTGGAACACCTGCGTGTCATCATTCACGACACTCAGGTGTTCCGAATTGGTTCTAGCCACTCTTAAAATATGTTTTGGTTAAATGACTTTTGAGCGTCTCACTAGCATCAATCTGTATATATATAAATATTTATTGAATTATTTATTATCTCCTCAAACCATGACCTATGACCACAAAAATCTATACTAATATTATAAAGAGGTAAAGTTTGTATGTAGGAGGTAATCTCCAAAACTACTCATCCGATTTCAAAAATTCTTTCACCAATATTTATAATGGACCTTCAGGATGGACATGGCAGTATATTATTCCGTTAAACATTCATAAAATTAAAAGATTTCACCTAGGTAAGCACTATATTTTTGATGTCAGTGGGTGGTGAGGGGCAAGACGTGTATGTACACGAGATAGCATCTAAGTTGTGTGATAGCGCAGCACAGTCGTGTGGTCAGTGAGATATGCAGTGCACATGTCCGAACTTGTCTATATATATAAAATTACATGTCCTGACTGACTGCTGATTCATCATCGCCCAGAACAAACCACTGAATCTAGAGGTGAAATGCGATACAGTTAGGGTACATCATGAAAATGCACACTAAGAAGGGCATTTTGGAAATTCCCGTGGGGGGAGATTAAGGCTTCACCTGAAAAATGGCTTCAACTGTACTATTTTAGATGCAATTTTTTGTTTTTGATGATAGTAACTTAATTTCTAAACATACAATATTTACCAAATCATCCAAATCATTTGCCTGAGCAACACTGGGCTCATTTGCTAGTTTAATATATATACATGGGTAGGCTGAAAAGTAATGCACACATGCTTGTAGAATACGAACAAAAACAAATAGCAAGATCGGGCAAAAAGTACATTAAAGTACAATTCTTAAGCTTCAAAATCATATATTTATTTTCAACATAGTCACCGTTAAGGCCAACACATTTCTCCCAACGTGTAACAAGTTTTTTCATTCCATCACTGAAAAATTCTTCCAACTTTTCTCGAATCCAGGACTTGACAGCTGCCTTCACCTCATTGTCTGAAGTGTAATGATTACCCTTGAGGTCTCTCTTATGTAGAGGAAACAAATAAAAATCACAAGGCGCAAGATCGGGGGAATAAGGAGGGTGTGGAATCGGTTCAAACTTCAGGTTTCACAGAGCCTCTCCAGTTGCGCGCGAGGTATGTGGACGAGCATTGTCATGCTGCAAGATTATTGGTGCCAGGCTGCCTCTAACATGTCAAACTCAACGTCAGAGGTGTTTTAGAGTCTGTATGTACTGAGAAGAATTAAACATTGGAACAAGGTGCAACGGTAATTGTCTGTGGCAGTGATCGGACTTCCGCTGCGTGTTTCTTCAACAATTGTGGCTTTTCCAGGCTCGCAATTACAAAATTTTATTATCCATCAATTTACAATAGACCTATCAACAGCATCGTCACCATAAACAGCCTTTAAACGTAATTTTTTCAGCAGTTAAAAATTCGATAACAGCATGCTGTTTAACTCATGTTGACATAACACCAGAACACGTCTCCATATTTACACTTCTCAAAATATACTGAATGAACGCAACAACCTCAAACTGCACATGCGCATAGAGGGGGGGAATGTTACTTCCATATGCCATCTGGCCCGCTTCTGAAAATCATTTCGTCCACGCTCTACAAGCATGTGTGCATTAGTTTTCAGCCTACCCTCGTATATATTGAAGAGAATGACGAGGAATAAGAAAAATTCCTCATTGTCAAGTTTTGAGTAAATGTAAAAAATAAGGTACCATGAGTATGTAAAAACGAGTACCATACAATACAATACAAATACAAAACCATACAAAAATTAGGTGTAAAGACGAGTACCATACACGACAGTATATGGTATTCGTTTTTACATCTAATTTTTGTATGGTATAGAAACAAAAGATGGTGGGAGGGGTGACAATTTGCCAATACAAAAATATTGAGGGACATGTACCCTGTGGTCCACTTGTATATTGCCTACCAGTTGAAAGGCCTGATGCAGGCATCGGGGCATACTAAATATTGATAGTTAGCATGCATAACAATGATAAATAATTAATTATAATTGGTTTACCTAAAGTGCAGAGACACTGTTGAAAGTGAACTGCTCATAATTATCATTTGTCATATACTAAAACCAACATCCCTACATCCAATTCTCATGAAATAACTTTCAAAATACCAATAAGATACTACATATTTCTGTTATGATTGCAAAGAAATACCATAATAGCCCATCTCCAGTTCAAAACATAGTGCATGATAATGAAACAAAAAAGCATAACTACGACCTACATTACTATATTCAATTCTTTTTAAATAACATAGCAAGCAGCATGTACGCCAAATACCATCAAAAAGAGTCGAGCACGGACTTGGCAATTCCTAGATTTGCCACTATGTTTTGCTGGTGCTCGATACACCAACAGAGACTGGCCATTTTTTCAGTTTTATATAGTAGGTCAGTGGTTCCCAATTAGTTTTTCCTGTGTACCATTTCAAGAAAGAGCTCAAACTTGTGTACCCCTTATAGCAGAAATTCATATTAATCCATACTAATATTATAAATTTGAAGGTAATTCTGTCTGTCTGTCTGTCACCATTTCACGTCTAAACTACTAAACAGTTTTTAACAAAATTTGGCACAGAGATAGTTTACATGTTGGAGATGGACATGGGCTACATTTTACTGCAAGAAAGTATCTTACTCCCATGAGAAAATTTGATATAATGTGGGCCAAGCTGTGGGTAGACAGCTAGTGATAAATATTAATAAGCTTTTTTTACATTTATTACCTTTAAAATACAATTCTAATAATAATGAAAATAACATAAGGTTAATTAATTTTAATGTGACAAATGTGCACTATTTTCTTTGCACAAATTAGTAAAATCTGGTTGCTTTTTGGTCAGCTTTAGTCTCAAGTCATCTTCAAGTTGAAGTCAGTGACAATGTTTAGTTTTTGTGTTTGTCATGGACAAAAATCCACTCTCGCAGAGGTATGTTGTGCAAAATGGTAGTAAATATTTTATTGCCGCTTCGCTGACATGATGATAATGTTAATTGTACAATTTTTGTTTCTTGCATAAGAATTTCATTTAGGTATTGTCACAAATGCATTTTTTTGATGAAATTTCGAGAATATTTTTAGTTATAAATAAATGAATTTGTGCATTTGACATCATGTTGTAAATTGCCAAATTTTTGATGGTCCACCCATTATTTTTTTGATTGCTTCATCTCATGCATTTAAATTTTAAATCGACCCGATTTTAGATTGCCGCACGTACCCTTTTATGCAATTTTGCATACCCCAGGGGTACATGTACCACTAATTGGGAACCATTGTAGTAGATAGATAAAAATAATAATAATATACTGAATTATACTGTAACAATATAAAATATACTGTGTATAATAATTTATATTGTTAATTTAAATAGTAGCTAGGGGCACCCTAGTGGCCGTTTTTGGCATACCGTGACAGAGACTGCCCAGTTTTTCAGTTTTATATAGTAGATTTTATCTTCCATTTCAAATGTAAAATTTTAAAAAATTAGATGCTATATCTCTGATCGTTTTACCCCCAAAAAATATAACATCTCTACTATTGAAAAGTTTTCAATCTACCTTTATAAACAAATGTTAAATAACTCCACGTTAATCCTTCAAAAAATGGAATCCACCATTTCCTGCTTTGTTGGAAGCCTTTAGACTATTTTCTTTAATTCCCAGATACTTTTGAGCCTTTTGGTTTGTCGAAAGAGAGAGAAATTACAGAATTACACAAGTAATTTCCACCTGTGATAATGAGCTAAAGGATTGAAGATATTTGGGAATTAAGGAAAGCAATCAATAGGTCTACAAATAAAATGGGAAACTGTGGTTTTGACAATCAGAGTAAATTACTTAGAAACTTAACCTAGATAAAGTAGAAAATTAAGATTTCACTTGTAGAGAAAATAAGATGAGAATAATTTCGAACCTTGTCAGAGAAGCAAATATTATATGACGAGGAGCCATGCGAGAACTAGGGGCAGAACTGAATGAATTTCCAAGAACAGAGTTCTCAAAACCAAGCAACAAATTAATTTGTCAAAACAACAAGAATAAGCACTTACTTAATAACTAGTTAGTAAGTAACTAGTACATAATATTCGAAAACAAATCAATCAGTATTTTGATAATCACCGAGATAGAATTTAACGATCGATTGAAGTATTAAAATTTCTCCAGAAGCCAGATTACACAATAACTTTGTATCTGTATCGCTGTAATGCCATTAGGATTTCCGATGGCAGAGAAAGACACTAGTACGCAGGGGAGGACCTAGCAAGGTTTTCAGGTGTTGCAAGATCTTTAGTTTCTACAGGGGAGTGCCAAAATGAGATAACATACATTTTTTACATTATTAATAACTCAGACCTCTGAAAGATTAGCATAGTAGTAGTATGGATGATAACCATTTCAAATATTGTTTCTTTTTATTGTTATTGTTTAACAGTCTACAACGTTAAGTGTGAATTTCACGCTATATGTGTATACCTTTGAAATGCACACAACCCAGCTCACTGTTGTATAGAATTTATTTTGGCAGGTAGGGTTAAGTAGTAATAAGGTGATTGGGTTTTATTTTTTGCACACATGATCTATCGTTGCATTTTCTGCAATGATAGATCATCTGTGCACCCTTTATGATGGCACCTGGTGTGGTCGCACTGTTCACACCAGGTGCCATCATCAAAGTTGGAAATTACAAGTTCTTGTAGTTTCCAGCTTTGTGCTGGGTATTTGAACACTCCCATCCTACTGTGTACATAGTTTGAATGTAATTGAGAACTACAAGAACTTATTGTACTTCTTGTTGCATTTGAATACGCCCATCCTAAAATTTGATTTGATTTGTAGATAATTTCCATTTCATACTTTCTTTTCATTTTAATTCGGCAAGTATTTGCCCGAAGCCGGACATTTAAATGTCCAAAAACAATTGCATGCGACAAAAATTTTTATGGACAGAGAAATTTTAATACTTCAATCAATCATTAAATTCTATTTCAGTGATTATCAAAATACTGATCGATTTGTTTTCGAATATTATGTACTAGTTACTTACTAACTAGTTATTAATCTTGTTGTTTTGACAAATTCATTTGTTGCTTGGTTTTGAGAATATAATTCAGAAATGTAACCGCTACAGTATGTAATTGATCACACACAACCTTGAATAGTAGTGAAAAATTTATTCAACTCGAAAAAAGAACAGTTTTGATCATTTTTAATTATTTATGTTCTGAAACTAGACATAGAACATATATAAAAAAATAAATAAATTTAATTATTTATTTTAAACATGTAGCAATTGTTAAATGCCAAACATCTGTACTGGATGCTTAGAGGTCCACACAAAGTAATGCAATGCACATTTCTGCTGTTACTTTTTCATCTTTTTTTAGGCACATCACAGATGTGGCACATTGTAAGATTTGTTTTATATTTAAACACATTGCATTCGCCATGTGTTTTATATTTACAAGTTAATGCTTTCACAAAATCTTTATGGATTTTTGTATACAATCTTATCAAATGCCATGTAATGCAAACCATATAAGAATAACACTAGCAGTCTAAATAAATATTTCGATAACAATTATATAATTCATAACAATATAATTTTTTTAATATTTCGAATTCCTACCTGTTGTTGCGGATGCATTGCAGACTATAATTGCATCTTCACCGTTAGAAGAACTCGATCTGTAGCACTGAATATCTCGAAACAAATCAAATGTCGAAGCCAGGAGGGCTTCCTTTTCATTGTCCTTACATTTATTAAATGTGGGTATGGGGAACTGGTGATGCAACCCTGGTGGTGGAGGGCAAAAATTCTTATGCCATACAGTAGATAAACCATTGGTAATCCCAATTAACAAAAATATTCATATATTATTAACGTAATACAATTTTCTTATGTCTACATTATGATTAAGGTAAATATAATTTTAATATTCCATTTATATTAAATACTAAAAATTTTAAGAGAATTTTTGATATGTATTAATAATATAACAAAGAAACTACCACTGCGAAAACTGGCAGAAATGGTAAAAAACCTAACATTAGCAAACGCTTTCCCTTGCATTAATGAGCCTGCATACTCCAAATCGGGGCAGTTCGGATTTAGAATGTTAAGAGCCCGAAGATCCCATTTAATATGGAGGAAAATGTTTGCCAATGTGAGTTTATTTTGCCATTTCTGCCATTTTCGGTCTCTGTGACGGTAATTTATTTAAAGTTAACAAGGTTTTGCTAGTTATAGTATTTTTGTTGTATTCAAATAACAAATAAATGAATAGAGAAGAGCTCATTTCTATGGTAACAAATTGCAAATTTTAATGTTTGCCATCTCCTGTATGCTTTTACATATCTACCTTAAACACAATAGTTCTGTGTGTGTCAATGATTTTCTCGTGTAATTCTCTTCCTTCCTTGCTTAATGTTTTCTCTGTTTACTGTGTAACAATTTGTATATTTTCATAAAGCTGTTTAGTTTGACACTGACATATTCATTACACCACGTCCACAATGAATGTTTTAGTGATACAGTTGCTCCACTAAAGCATTCGTTGCCTTCTTAAGCCATATTTAAGTTCTCGATTGTGGCAACTGTCAGATGCCACACTGAAGAAATCTGTGATTTAAGTTCTCATATCTCTTATGTTATTTGATACTGATATATATTATCAGTATAAAATTAAATTAAATACACAACATGTTTGTATAAACAGGGTGAGTCAAAAGTCCCTTTAATTCCAGAAGTACTGAAGACATATTAATTTTGTTAATATAGTGACATAGGAAATCATGCATGGAGAATCTGATGGAACTGTTCTTGTTGACCTTAATCATTTTGAAGATCACTTACTGAATGTAAATCACCACAGAGGAACCTCAAACTACATATGACATTCTAAAAATTGTCACATGTAATCTTGCATTCCATCTGTGCAATTTTTCATTGCAAACAATATTGAGCCACATGATTCAGTGTTAACAACTTGCTTGTAGAATTTTTATTGTTCAAAGTTCCTTGGTTTAGCATGATGCTTGATTTAATGTCGATTATAGAAGCAAATGGACAGTGGCACTAAATTGAGGTTTGACTGTATATCAAAATAGTTAATAAAGACATTGGCAAGGAAATGTTGAAACAGTTTTTAGAAGTATACACATTAAGAAAATTTGTTAAAGAAATGTATACGAGAGTTAAACAGAAATTAGTGGTATTAATTTCATACCAAGTTAGTTTATTATGATTGGCATTGCAAGAGAGAAAATGAAACACTCCACCACCAGGAATAAAAACAAAAGCACCACCATAAATGTTAGTAAGTTGCATATTAAAAATGTAGTGAAAGAAGATTGTATACAGTAACTTTTCCAGGTAAATTAAATACAGAAAAGATTCAGAATTTAAAATCAAATACTTTTGTACAAATATCATGTTTAATCTTTTTTTTTTAACCAAATTGTACTATTAACTAGTACATGGAAAAATAACTTATCTGACTCCGTTGGTTTTTTTTAAATATTTTTATTAATATCATGTTTAATACAGTAATATCCTGAACTTACGCAGTAGGTGGGGCTGAGCAATAACTGCGTAAGCCGGGGTATAATTTCGCAATTTGTGTAAAATCCAAGTCAGATGTATGTAAGCTAATAAATGTTCTCGTTAATCTTATCTCGTCTTTTGATTTGTTCACAGTTACAAGAAATCACCACATAGAGTCTCTCAAGTCTCTGTAGATATAACAAACACAGCTACAATTTATCTTGTGTTATTTATTTCTGTGTCGATCCCACGCGATATGTCCGAACATGTAAGCTGAACAATAGTGTGGGGGGGAGTGAGTAATCAAGAGTTGTGTGGCACTCAAACAAAAGACGTATCGACGAGATTTGAAAATCACGTAACTCCGGGTTCATGTAAGTCGGGGTATTACTGTATTTAACAGATATAATGTTTGTTAAAACATAAATAGGTTCACAATGTGTACGGACACGATTTTAAAAGGCCCTCTTAGCACTCACAAGGCACTAAGAGGACCTTTTAATTGTGGATTTTCCAGCCCACAATGGAGGCAACAAGCCAGAGATTCAATGTATTCACCCAAGAAATTTCTTAACCAACTCCAGCAAGAATCTTGGAGTGGCAGGCTAGTGCCTTTACTGTAACCTTGGCCATCTAGACATCCACAAAGTGCATTTTTCACTGAAAAAAATGTTAGTACATCTAAAAAGTTAAGAAATAAACAAATAAAATAAAATAAAATGTGACAAAATGAGTTTAGTGTTTAGTAAAAGCCAAGATAATGCATGAAATATTAATTTTTAGCAGTTGTTAATAAAGTTACAATAACATTTCATAAAATATTTTGGAGTGGGGTATATACTGTATATATAATTTATCAAGATCCAAAGAAGTTGATATATATTTTAATTCTTCATAACAGTGTTTTATGAAAATAATTTAATACTGGAACAAAGTTAATAAAATATATTTTTGGATAGCCATTTTTGTCTTTTGGAACACCACTTAAAAAAATTTAGAATTTGATTTAAAAATATAAAATATAAAATACAAAGCACTTACATCTACAGCATAATACTCAAACAGTATAATGACAAACATGAATGGAAAATGGTGTTAACTTTAACTAACTAATATGCAAAATAAGAAAGAATAGTAAGGGAAACCAATATTGACTAAAACTTGTGGCCTTCAGAGTCACGTGTGCCTTTTGTGGTTTCTACTGTGGCTTGGTAAAATATAGGGTCTTACAAGAAGAATTTTACCATTTTAAGTTGCTCTAATTATGTTAATAACAGTGTATGATAAATCAATCAATCAATATAAATAATAAATGATAAATAAATCAATCAATATAATAACACCCAGCATCATGCTGGGTGTTATTATATTGATTGGCGTACAATGCATACTTCTTGGGTACACGAGAAGTAGGCACTTATGCCAATCGATAGAGTAATCATTCAAGTTTCATTTACCATCTGCATTCAAATGTCTTTTGTGTTCTGCAGTTTGCAAAGTCAAAATCATTCATCGTCATGAAATGTGAGTAATCTGCAGGAGCCATGGAAGGAGTAACAACAGATGTGTCATAGCGAGCATGGAAAGCATTTCGGTATGGGTTGGCCATGTGCCATGAGACACGAAATGCATGCATTGAAAAATCATAACAGACAAATGTGAAACTAGACAGTTTTCTGATATTTTAATGTACATTACAAGGTTCTCAGATCATAATTACAATAATTTAAAATGGTAACATTCTTTTTGGAAGGCATGTAGAGTCAATTGGAATTTTTTTTTCTTAATTTATTTTCATACAATAAACTTGAATTTGATAACATATCTAACTGCCTACATATGCCTAACTGTTCACTGTAAATCACAGTAACAATCATTTTCATTCTACAGTTAGTTTGGCAAGTAACGATGATGAATCTATGAAGCAAATCCGCAATAACAAATTACAGTAGATAATAAGAATCAAACTAATGTCAAGTTTCAAATGAATAATGATTTACAATTTGTACTGGTCATCTTTCCTGTGACAGATACTGAAAATTAGAGACATTCTATGCATAATGTTTAATAAATTATGATAAACCTTAATTAAAATTTGACATCACTGTTGATAATTATAATCAGTTATTCATAATTTAATTTTGTATCCTTACTTCTCCATCAATTTTAACTCTAGCAAATGAATCACAAATGACAATATGCACATATACCTAACTGGTCTTAAAGTAACCTTAGTTAATTGACTTTTGGGCCACCTTAAGTATATATGCATATACATTTTTATAATTTCATATTTTTAATTTATTTAATTTTAAATATATGCTATCAAATTAGTAGTGTCTTACCTCCACATATCACACTGTTCCCAATAACAACAGTCTTGCTGATTATCTATGTAACTCCATTCTGGGGAAAAAATTTTTGAATTGAAATCACGTGACTTCCAGTCTAGACCGGAAGTTTGTATATAGTTAATCAGGGCCTCCTGCCCCTAAGCTTTCCATATCCTGTCTCGACTTCCTTAATCTTGAGAACAGAGTTATATAGATGGAAGGACAGACTGGTGGATGGACAACAGTGGGAATTTATAGGTTTACAATTTTTTTCAAATTGCAGTCCAATGATGATAAAGCTTCTACTTAGCTATTTAATCAAGACAATTTGGAAAAAGTTTTCAAGTGCAGTTTATTAATTTGCAAAATTTTTGTATGGGAAATGAGTAAATATTTTGTTTTATGTTGAGCTGACACAAAATTTCACCCATTAAACAGTGTCAAAGAGTTTTGAAATAAAAACAGATTTTTGGTATTGAGAATGGTGTTAGATAGACAAAAGTCAAGACTGGATATGGAAAGCTTAGGGACAGGAGGACCTGATTAACTATATACAAACTTCTGCTTTGGGATGGAAGACACATTATTTCAATTCAAAAATTTTTTACTGAAAGCAGTTAGATAGAAGGCATGACTTCATTGTTAATGGAGAAAGTATGATGTACAGGGGCAAGACACTACCAAACCTAAGTGCAATGTGACAATGTTTTTGCATTTTGGCAAATTTTTCCAATTGAAATCTAAGGCTTAGCCAAGACACTATTCCATTTTATTGTAATGTATTTGTGGTTATAGCTGTAGTAGTAATTTTCTGCTGCAAATTTAATTTTCCTGAAATCTTGTTTGTACGATCAGGTTGGTTGGTTGAAGTTTTTTGGCACGAGATCAATATAAGCTACACTGTGCCACGTCAATTGTACAATTGGACATATTCTGCACCTCTGAAATATTCTAATCATAATGTCTGTTGTATATATGTCTATTTACTTTAACTCATTCTGTTAACTCTGTCCCATGTGCACAAAAGCAGCCTTTATAATCATACCCATCATAGGTCTGGCCAGTTCCACAATGGCCAGATGTATCCAGACCACGTAAATTCCCGAGGTTTCCAATCTGGACTCGAACCTGGGTTATTTGGAGTTGTAGGCTGACACCTTTACTGGCTCAGTAATAATTTATAATTTTGCAGTAATTTTCTTACACTTTCAAATAATATAAAATTTGTTTATTGAAACAAACTGAATTTCATAAATCTAATACAAAATGTAAGAAATTACAATACAATTTCTATCTAGGATCATGTATTACTTGAGTCTGTATCATTTTTTGTATTTAATACATTATAAATGTAATCATCAAATATTTCATTAATGTTATCATTCATTTATAAAATAAATAAGGTAAATAAAGCATATTACATACCTCCAGCTATTGATAAACTGCTGACATCAGAAACTAATTCATTGACCTGTTGCGAAGAAGGGCTAGGAGTAGCTCCTTGTGGTCTCATACTTCGGGGCTTTTGACCAGGAATTTTCACAGTAGTGTGCATCAGAGGAATTTCTTTTCCGTGAACGTCATCCATGTAATCCTGTAAAATAGAATATTAATAAATATTATCAATCATAAAACAGTCCAAGAACATTCGAGTTCTTGTAAACTTAGTTAAAAACCTACTTTATTGAATTTTGGCGTTACGTATTTTTCATCCTGAGTACTTTCAAACCGCCAAACCTCAAAGAACAAACATTTCTCTTGCTTTGTTTATAGAGGTTTGGCACCTTGGACTTTGGCAGCCTGAAAGTGCTCAGGATAAAAGAAATTAAGGATTACTATAATGAAGTAGGTTTTTAGTATTACACCACCAATTATAAACTAAATAATAATAAATCTGGCAACAAGTTGCTTAACTTTTCCAGGAACATTTAAAACTGCATGTGACACCATCTATTATATTTTATTAAAAAAGACTTTTTATATTTTTAATTATTATAAAATGGCAAAAAGCTAAATTTTGAGAGTAGGGATGACTTTTATAGAAAATTGTAAATATTAATAATGAGGAAAATTCTCATTAAGTCCAACCCTACTTGAGATACAACATGCCCTCTAATTCCCCAATCCTTCAAGTTCCATGCTCCAAAATTTAATAGCAATGATGTCCCTCATATACAAGTTACCATGCCAAATTTTGTTTCTTAATCTTCATCCCTTCCTGATATATTACAAGAAATAGATGCCCGCCCGCCCACGCACACACACACACATACATACATACATACATACATACGAGGGTCAAATCTCATATGATTACAACACTTTCTCACGTTATGTTATAACGGCACAGAAAGTAAAATGGGAAATTGTTTAAAAATTCTTATAAATTACTGTTATAAAAGATTATTTCAAATGCTAAAAGACAGTTACAGAATATTAAATGTAGCAATTAGCTTTGCTTCTAATCTAAATTCTGAGGTGGCTCTTATCCTTTTATGATTAATGGAATTCATAAAAATCATTTCTCCGAATTACTGCCAAATCATCTCTGTACTTAAGACTTACAAGGGAACTGTCGGAGTGTCTTCTAATAAATTTTAATAAAATTTAGTTAATAACTACGTTAAAAGTATACAAACTCTATTTTAAATTTGTAGCATTCACTAAAAGTGTTGATCAGAGTTATTAGCAATCAAATGTTGCACTACTTTATAGTAGTTTAGCACAATTATGCAAATTTTTAGAAGTGAAAGGGTCGTGGAGGAAGACGGCGATATTACATTTAGAATGAATTCTGGAATTTTCAAAAATGGGAGAAGAATTAATAAAATTTAGTTAGTAATTATGTTAAAAGTATACAAAATTTTATTAATTCTTCAACCATTTTTGAAAATTCCAGAGTTTATTCTAAATGTAATATTGCCGTCTTCCTCCGCGACCCTTTCACTTCTAAAAATTTGCGTAATTGTGCTAAACTACTATAAAGTAGTGCAACATTTGATTGCTAATAACTCTGATCAACACTTTTAGTGAATGCTACAGATTTAAAATACAGTTTGTATACTTTTAACGTAGTTATTAACTAAATTTTATTAAAATTTATTAGAAGACACTCCGACAGTTTCCTTGTTAGTTAATGTAGTTCACCACAAAAATAAAATAGACCCTATAAGTACTGTACTCAGTGGACATAAAATCACTGAACCAAGACATTTCAAGAAGTAATAGTAGTCCAAAGTACATGGCTACAGGAGTATTTGATTATGACTACAAATACAAATATTGTGTTTGTGTTAATTATTGCAAATACAAATATTCTGTGTATAGCTACCATTATAGGAAGTACCTTTACACTTTATGGAATATATTACATAAAAAACAGTAAAAACTTATTAGTATAGAACTGAAATTAAGACAATGTAAAAAACAAGTGAACAAGCACAGCTCTAACAAAATGTATATATAACTAGTTGTATTCAGTACGATATTTGATGTTAAATTACAAGTAAACAGGTAAGATAAAAACAGCAAATAAATATTTTTTAGTGAAGTGAATGGTTGTCTCTTTAATCCGAAAATGTTTCTCTCGGTAGACTATCTTACAGCAAGTACCATATGAATGTAACTCGGGAAAAAAGAAGTGTGTAAAATTTTCAAAGAGCACTGAAGAGAAACTGGAAAATGAAACCAGTTCGAAATGCATATGAATTGAAAATACAATAAAAGAGTTTCTGGACCTGACTTGCTATAAGATAGTCTACCGAGAGAAACATTTTCGGATTAAAGAGACAACCATTCACTGAACGAATATACAGCTACAATTAGTAAATTCAAAATATTTTTTACATAAAATTTATTAATATAAGACAGGAGTGGCCAAACCTTGTCACGATATCGCCTATCGGGTGAGAGTAAACTTAAGTATTATGTATGCGAAAGTAATACATACCAAGCTTATAAAGGAAATTGTACAAATGTAATGGAACCACAGTAAAGGTCTAGAACAGGGGTCGCCAAAGTGGTCTATATCGACCCCTGGGGGTCAATATAACATTATTGGGAGGGGGTTGATGAAAAGACTAAAACTTACAAATTTTGAACCAAATATTACTAATCTTGCTAAGGATTATCAAGCTTATCCATCTCATTGATTGTCAGTTACAAAAATTATTATTAACATATCATTGGTGCACAAGAATAGTGCACAACTCAAAAAAATCAACATATCAAAAAAAACAACATATCATTGGTGCACAAGAACACAACTCAAAAAAATAGTTCTTCCAGAACAGCCATTTAAAAGTTTATTTTATTTCTGCAAGGCTTTGTCATGATCTTGGATTTTTAAAATTTTCAAATCTTTTTTGGAAATAAAAGATTTGAAAATTTTATGTAAAATGTAAAAAATGTAAAATTAAAAGATATATATTAAAATAGTAAGAGCTTTATTTTTTTTGCTTGTAACACAAACTTTGGTGGGGTCGATGTGAGGTTTCGAAAAGTTGTAGGGGGTCGACGATCAAAAAAGTTTGGCGACCTCTGGTCTAGAAGATCCAGTTTGGCCATCACGGATATAAGATGTAAAATTTCTCGGTATGTAGCATTTTTTATGTAAATATCTTTGCGGGTATTCATTTTTGCATGCAAACTAAGCCAATGATATTTAATCAAACATTGTTTTTTTTTTTCTTTTTTTTTTCTCATCTACCCATAGGAGTTCATCTTCACTTAAGTACCATTTTATTTTTAATTAATGACATCAGTTTTCTGAACCAAAATTTAATTTAGAATAATCTTTCTGTAAATAATAAAATTGAAAATCAATAAAAAAAAATGTCAACTTGAAAACTTATATTATACCAGAAGGGAGCTAGTTCAACAACTGGAATAGAGAGAAGAGCATCACTAAGGCAACAGCAAAACGGGGCATATTTCTGTTTCTAATTATTTTAAATGAAATTAAACAGTGAAATAGATACAACAAGGCTACTCTACATTAAATACACTTCAAAATGATGCATACGAATTACGCTTGCATTTTATACAAGTACTTTAACAATGTGGAAATAGATTTTGCCTTAGCATATTCTGTACAGTAATAACCCGAGTTACATAACACATGACTTACATAAAGTTCTACAGTCCGCATTACTTACATAACTCGGGGTATTACTGTATATATACTGTAGATAGGTAGGAAGAAAAAGCAAGTTAGAAATTAATAATAATTTGTTTAAGTAAAAAAAGAATATATCTTTAATACCGTAATTAAGAAAGTAAAGTGATAAATTAGACTGTATGCAAATTAGAAAAGAGCCAACAATTTTAATAAATACAGTGTATCCGAGAAAGATCAAACACCACAAAAAACTTAATAAAGATACAAGTTTGTGCAATCATTAAAACTCAAGGCATTAAAACTAAAAAAATTAAAAAAGCTCAACTTATACTGCAAAAAAATAATAAATAACTTTCAGAGCATGAGTTACATAAAATGATTTAGAAAATATTAAAATAAGCATAAAGCCTTGTATATGTTTCTTATAAATAAATGAATAAGTATATTTATTATATTAGAAGTTATTAACTTCTCTCTTTATTATGTAATTATAGAGAGGGGTTCTTTGATTTTTGGTGACTGATGACAATGAAGGGAGGGGATCAAAATGAGACAAATTTCTGTCAATGTATTAATAATACCTACGTGATTTTGGGGATAATCAGAATTAATTGTAAAAAATAAATCAATCAGCAGTCAACAAACAAAATAATTTATAAATATTCTAAACATGAGGTGATTAGAATGTGTTAAATTCAGGGATATATAGAGTATTCCATTCAGCAATTAGCACTTAAGATTAGATTTGGAATATATTGGTGTCACTACTCTAAATCAAAGAGAGTGGCTAGTTCAGGATGTCACACACATGAAGGCAGTATCCATAAGGAGCATAACACAACAGCAGTTAAATCAAATTTGGAACTGGAATATATTTACATTTAGACATTAAAAATTAAATATAAAGTTTTAGATACTAATGTAAATCGATATCTAAATACATATTCTGTGTAAGTGGGTAATAATTGGCATTGGAGGATTTGTATTTGATTTTTAAAATGCGTAGTTAAATGTTTGAACGTATTTTTTTCGTTCAATATTTTGAACTTTGTTCTATTTTCTGCATTCTTTTAATGGTTATGTGCTATTTGCAGTTACCTAAAGATGGCTATTAAAAATGGCCAAAACATTTGTATTAAAAAGATAAAATGTTAATAATAATATGGGGCAAGTTTTTGTGTCTTTTTTTTTGGAAAAGTTGCAGCTTATATGCCATAAAATACAGTACATAACAAAACCGTTAAAGATTACAGCAATAATGATGACAATGAATTACTAAAAGTAATTTTTTAGAAATTATTGAGTTATTAATGCTAAGAACTTGTTTATATGTTTGAAGTGTTTTAACATTACTTTGCCGGAGTATAAACAAATATATGTAAAATCAACCAAAACAAAATTCAAGCACAAACTAAGATCAATACAGTTTTCATTTGGTGACAACTCTAGAGAAATTTAACTTTGACCTCTCCATTATTCTTTACAGGTATAAGATTGACAGATGTATGGCCAAGACAATAAGAGTACAACTCAGCCAGCTGCACCTGGATACATTGGGTCCCACAACCACCTAACCACCTCCATTGCGGATCCAGTCAAACCCACGACGGAGACGATTAAAAAAGATCCCATAAGTGTCTATGGGGCAGAAAGGGTCAAGAACAAAGATATAAAAATATGACACTACAAATTGAGCTTTTAAATTTGTACAAATAATCTCCAATCCATTGTTTTTGACAAATTGGAAAAAGCATTCTGTCATTTTAATGATATTTTGGTAATTGTTTTGACATCTCACATTAATATCATCATAATTTTTGAATTACTGTGTTCAAATCTAAGATACACCTTAATTTCTAAATGCTCAAAGATTTTTTAAAAATAGATAACAAATGAGACTACAAATAATGAATAAATAGGCTTTTTGTACAGTATTTATTGTAACTAAAGTAAGTTATATATCACTGTTTTCCGCAGTATTGAAGTCAGAAACCTCTTTACTTGCCTCTTAATGTCTTCTAATCAACACTAACATTATTTTAGTTACGTTCCTGAGTTTTAGTTTTAGTAAGCTAAAACAGAGCTAATCAATAGGGATTTCGAGTTCACATCTTCCCACGTGATCATACTTGATGCCATTTCGAGCACCGGAAATGAAATACTTCTTGAGTGCCAACACAGCTTTTTCTGGAATTTTCATCCAGGTACTTACGACATTGCCATAATAGAATAATGAGATTGAGTTAAGTTGACCTCTTAAATATTTTCTATTATGAATATTGGTGAATTTTAATTGCCTTAAACCCATTTTATACTAAGTAGAACACATCCGATTCTTTTTTCAAAAATACAACAAGAAAATATCTTACGTGAAGACTGGGATGATAGGTGAGCCTTCCGTCGTTAGTAAGGGTCACGTATTTCTTCTTCCATTCTTTGTTCAATGCCTTACAACTTCTTTTATAAAGATATCCCTAAAATATAAATGAATAAATACTTTATTTATTCTAAATTACTCACAAATGACAGATCATACAAGAAAACACAGACCGGACACGTCCGATTCGATACAAGACAAGCGAGCATAACTAGTTTTACAATTTCTTTCAAAAATTTATTCGTTCATTCATTAAAACTGCTTTATTTGTGATGCAAAAGGTTTGGTTTTCACCCACCAGATTTTGGATTTTTAGAATAATAATACATTATGGAAATACAAAGCAAAAGTTGGTTAGCCACTTTGTCGGAAGCCAACGAATTGTAAATAACAATACACAGCTGTCACAAAATGGGTTTGATGTTCTCAAAACAATCTTAACCCTCAACTAACAAGGAGCAGTCTAAAAGACTACAGAATTTAATGTTCTTATAATTTTCCCGTCGGCAGAGAAAATTGTCCTTCCCTGTAGCTTTAAACAAGCTTACGTTTTGTCAGTTTAAAAGAAACACACAGAATAATCTGTAGTAGTTCTCTCCAATGGTCTCAGTAAGATCAATAACAAAGGAAATAAAGCTCCTTATAACGAATATTCTTATCTTTAAAATCAAATAAGCCTAAATGCAAATTAAACTAAGCAGTCTGTAGACTGCACCATGTTAATTAAACTGATTTTTAAGATTCCCTAGTATACAGTTTCCAAAATACAACAGAAATAGTTCTTACATTACTAGGTTGGCAAGTAATCATTATGATGCATTAAGAGTGCACAATGCCGGGTATTAAATCGACTGGTGTTATTTGTAAAATATTATAAGGATATATTTATATTTTAATTTTAATGAAATATAATAGTCTAATTAACAGCCGCCAGCTATCCCAGTGAATCCAGGACACTCCTGGATTTTGGCAAAACCTTTTAAAGTTCCCCAATTTTTAAATTGAGGCCTATTCCTCCTCTATTTATTTGACTTTTGGGGCATATCTCGAAACGGATTAAACAACAACTGCCATCATTTTGATATCACCTGGAGTAAAACTTTCGGATGTTTAACGTTTATTACTCTCAGAACCAACTGTTAAACCTCCCAAAAGTTTTTACTTCCACAATCAACAAGCTTAGTCTCATTTCAGAAAATAGCATTAAGTAATTTAGTATTTTTAAATCGTCGGGCCTAGAAGTAAAGGCCAATTCACACTAGCGGCAACATTATGACGTCAACGACAGAATTAACTAATCACCTTTGTCGATCGTCAACGTCAAAAGAAACGATTGATAGGATCTCCACGCCGATTGGCCTCTTATTACAAAGCCCTAGGACCAGAGTTCCAAGCGAAACAAGCATCGATATCTACGATTTTTATATCCCGAAACAAGCATTAAGGTCCGTCCAGTTTATACATTTCACTCTCTTTTTAGGACAAATGAAATACGTAGAAATATTTTTATTAATAAAAAGAGATGTCTTAAAATATTTTATTTTCTGTTATTGTTGTTAATATTAATTTTATAAAATTCGCTAGCTCCTCCCTCTCTGCGGCCCTTCTCGTATCGTAAATTACCGAGCGCTACTTGGCGATAAAAATTATTAATTTTTAATATTCCCCCATATCCTTCCTACATAAATCCCTCAGACCCGGAACAAGTTATTTGCATTTTCGATTAAATTATTCTAAAAATAGCCACTACTCGCCATCTTAAATTTACCGTCTCTCACCCCCCCGATTTCGACGATTTGATAAAATGACGTGGTATATGCCGATTGGTCGGACGAACCACCGTCGAGTCACCTGACCGATACGTACGATTTTCAAGAAGATTATGAACTGCCAGTTCATTTGTGTGTGTGGGCGGTTTTTGTACCCGTTTTTTGTGAAACTCGAAATTGAATTTGAGTATGGCTAATTGTATACGGGAGCAGAAAGAACGTAACGCTTGGAACGTTGCCTAAGGCGCGCGCTTAACACTATATTCTCGGTAAATTCGGTTATTTTCGATCCCAAACGAAATAAAAGCGGGCCATGCCACTTACTTGTCGAAGAGGAATGACTCTGCCGCTTCCCACTTCGCCATTTTTCAATTTCTTATCGTCGTCGGCTTTTTTCAGAGGCTAAAAAAAACGGGAGATGGGGGTAAGCGGCGAATAGGTCAAAGGTGAAGGATCAATGGCGAGTCTTACCGGAAATAAATTGGATCTCCTTCGAGTCTTCCTGGAAGCGGTGGGAGTAGAACAGGGAGTCGGCAGATTCTCTTTGTATCCGCAAGAGGCGGGTACCATTTTTTCCGGTTTGTTTTCGCGGACCGCGTTGTCCACCTCCTCCATTTTGTCGCTCCTTTCTCGATCGCGAAACGTCGAGTCCTAAAAAGAAAAAAAAATGCATTCGTTTCTTATTTTAGAAAACCCGAGGCAATCCTTCTATCTACTCCTTATACGCGGAGAAATTACTCCACTTTCGTCCATAGATCGATATTAAACGAGTACGCGCTTAACTCTTAGGGGACGATTACCTTCGCCTAAATCTTCCCAAAAACAAAAAGTAGATTCTTTTAAATAAATGAGTTGGAATGTTTCTTCTGTTAAAACAGAAAATTTATTAATGCGCGCGCGCGTAGAAGGGAAAAATCCCTAAATATGACAGAGGAATGAAAACGTCCGCTTCAAAACACTTCTCCTTTTCTTCCTTTCATTTTTAGGTAAATTAAATGAGGAATATAACGGTTGGTCAAAGCACGAGAGTTGTGTAAATTCTCCCTCCAAAATCGTTGTTCGGGCCCTTATTTACACAATTATGAGGGGCTGATTTTGCCCTCGGATATCGATTTTTGGTGGCGCGATTTTACCCATTTGCGGGCGAGGCGTCCCTCAACCCATCGAGTTTTGCTCCTCCTCCGTTCTCCTTCTGCCTAGTTTATTTCCCTCCAGAGCGCGGGCGTTCTGATAAAATAAGATCTGACACAGCGCACTCATCGCGCGGTAGCGTCAGATCTTGCGATCCGCGGAATTCCGACCGGAAAGGAACCACTTTTTTACCTTAAGAGTGTTTTGGTCGCGTCCGGCGCGACCGGGCGACGAAGAGGCCGGATCGGCGGGAGTACGGTCACCGGCAGCGTGAGCGTCGCATCGAACGGGACGAGCGTCGGGTCCGGAACCGTTCGGTGTCAAACCCGCCATCTTGGACCGAACCACTTTCTGGCAAGCTGAAAAATAAAACAGCAAAAATTTCCCGTAAGAAACGGCAGAAAAAAAAAATCCAATCCGAGCTTCAACGCGCCACACTCGCGGTGTTTACCAGATTTCGCGCTACAATGCGGTATTCGGGATGGCCAGAAAAATACTAGACAATAAGCACACTGCCTCTGGGGTAAGACAGAAATGAGCAGTTACGTAAGTAAACCAATGGCGTAATCAGTTTCATACGAGACGAACTACGTCACTAGTTTGCTTACTTAGCTGCTCGTTTCCTGAACTCGCCCCGGTAAAGCGGCTTTGATACGTCCGGATAAGCGAACCAACGACTTGACCAGTTTCAAACGGAACGGGATGTCGCAAAGCCGCTTAAAATTAAGAGAAAATTAGACATTCACTCGAAATTATGTTGATATTCACCCTAAGGTGAGTACCAAACTAATTCCGAGGGGAACTGCATCGGGCAAAGCTTCAACGAGGTAAATTTGTGGGTTTAGTAAACGGCAACGCAACACACGGGCGATCTACTGAGGGGATGCCACCCAGGAGGTCTTTTATGGAAAAGTACCCCTATTTGGGCTTTACTAACTTCGAGAAAACCGGGAAACTCCACGTGGCCAGGCGCGAACACGCTACCACCAGTGTTCGGTGGTGTTTTCCATCGGCCTCCGATGGGAGCGGAGGATCGATTACGGTATGGACTAATTTTGGCTACATGGGCAGGACCAATATTGCGTTCGTACGCGATAAAGCGGAACCTATACGATTGCCAAGACATGTCGGTAAAGCATTTAGCTTACTTCTATTTGGAGAGAAATGAGTGGTCCATTTTGAAGCCGTAACAAGGTAACGCTACCCCACACACTGCCAGATCTACTTAAGAATTCTTTTTGGAAAACGAAGTACATTAGCCACGTCGCTCGTTCCGATATACTGCGTTTCCCTCTCCCAAATACAAAAGCCAATAATGGAGACGGCCGGATGGCCGAGTGTTTAGTACCGCTCCGGGAAATCTGGAATCGGACAGTTCGAAAAACTCAGTAATTTTTCGGGAATAATCCGTTAAGATATGAACCCATAAAGGGTTTGCTAAAAAGAAAAATAAAAACTCTTGTAGGGCCAACAGGACGAAGAACCAATAATGGATAAATACAATGATTATATCGCACCGTCTGATATATCGCTAGTTTTATTCGTCTCCCAACGCGAGCGTTATAACGGGGAATTACTAATTCCTCGAGCAGCTCGCACCCCAAATTGCAACCCAATGGAATACGTTAGGGCACTATTAACAAGAAAATTATACGATTGGGGTAAGCTATATTGTAAAGTATACGCTACACCGGGAGGTAAATCGAAACGGGCAATCGATTGAAAAGTGGGAAGAAATTAGCCAACTCTACCACAAAAACCTCGCGAAAACGATGCCCGAGGTCATAAATAGAAATGGAAGTTCGATCGATTATTAGTTTTAAAAAGCATTATTCGAAATCCATTCTTTATGCGTCGTTTCTAAATTTAGAAACATATATAACTGGCATTTCTGAAGCGAAACGACCACAGCAAACACTGCATCGCGCCGGCCATACCTTGCAAGTGGTAAAATGATAAATTACGGGTCCAGGAAATTTCACAATTTCGACTAAATTAGAAAATATGGACTGTTTCTAAATATATCTGCCGCACCTTATTTATAAAGGGTGCGTTCGATTGGTCGGAACAGTGCACGGTTTTACGTAAATTTGACGTCACGACTTCGGTATCGCCACGAAAAATGTTCGAGAATGACGTCGAATTTACGTGGAAACGTACACTTATCCCGACCAATCGAACGAGCCTATAATCTCTACGTCGAAACGTTGGCCGACGACGCTTTCCGCCAATCAAATAGTTCGACGCATTCGAATACCGACGCCGCTAGAGAAAGGGGAAAATCCGCCGGAAACGACGTCACGACGACGCGCAATTCCTCGCCAATAGTTCCCTCCACTCGGGCAGAGCTTAACTCCTCGCCAATTAAAAGTATATACTAATTACGGTCGTAAAAATAATTAATTGCACGCTTTTAGAACCCTTCCGCGCCGAATTTCTCCCAGGCGCAGTCCTTAATCGCGCGTTTTCTCGCTGTTCTTAAAATAGAACGGTGCGGACGGAAATAATTCGAGCGCAATCGATTTCTCGCCGAGAACGAAAACGAATTTTCGTGTCGCGAGCGGGACGAAATCCTTTTTTTTTTTTTTTTTCGTTTGTCGAAAAGGCGACGCGACGAACTTTCCGGGAAAGGAGATAAAAGTAGACGCCGCTTCCGAGAGAAAAGGCGCGCGAGTATCGATCGGCGTTGCGTTTTTAACGGGGAAATGGCGCGGCGATTAAAAACAGTCGCGCCAGAAGAACTCTGGCCTGGCCTTAAAGAGTCGGAAGGGCACTCACCGTCCTGGAAGACCCTGTCCACGTTGAGTCCGTAGGTGGCGCACGTCTCGTAGTAGGAGCATCCGCGCAGGTCGGCGGCCAATTTCCTGGCCCTTCCGTCGTCCACGATCCGCGGGTTGCTCTCGCTGATGGCGTCTGAAACGCGAAAAAAAAATCCTTCAGCCTATACCTGATCCGAACTCCGAACCGGTGGCGCGTCGCGGCGTGGCCGAAAGCGCCCGGGGCCACGCGATAGAGTTTCGTTTCCGCTTCCCGCATCGGAAAATAGAAAGCGTTTCCCCTCAGACACTCGGCGGACCGCATCTACTTCCGGGTCGATCCCCTCCGAAGCCCGTGCGGAAACGGGAAACCCTTCGCTTCCGGAGCGTTTGATCGGATTTCCGGAAACGGCGAATAACTTACCAAAATATCGAAGTAGAAAGGGATCCGGGTCAGAGCAGAAGGGGTCGCCGGTCTTCGACGTCAGCGACGGGACGGGCGGGACGATGGCCGCGTCGCTTTACTCGTCCGTGTCCGAGATTGGCGTAGGAAAAGGGGGCGATTCGAACCGCCGGCTTCCCGAAGGTGGCGGGCTCCCCGCCGGGCGCCGGCGGAGGAGAGGCGCATTTCGGGTCCCCCTCTTTCGTCCCTGGGGCCACCGCGGACGAAACGCCACCCTGCCAGACTGGAGCGCGCGTCCCGTTCCGGAACCGCGGGACACCGGAGGGGCCCGACCCGCGGCGGGAGGGGGCCCCGGGGCCCGGGCGAAGCGCGGAGCCGGGGACGGAGCGAGCGGGTACTTACCGGCCGGGGCCGCGGCAGCCACTGAGGCCGGGAAGGGCGGCCGGCGGCGCCGCCGGGTCGAGTCGGGAGCCGATCGATCGGCGTCTCCGCGGCGCGCGCATCCGGGCCGGCGCGATCGATGGACGCGGGTCGGACCGCCGCCGCGCCGCTCTCACCTTGAGTGCCGACCAGGACGACGGGCAGGTCCGCCGGATTGCGGTAGTGCGACATCTTGGCGTAGTAGGCGCGCACCGCCTCGAACGACGCCTCGTTCTCCAGGCTGAAGACCAGAACGGTGGCGTCGGCCCAGCAACAGAACTGCGGAAAAAGAAGACGTCAACCTCGTCGGGTGGCGGGCCCCCGCTCCCGCCCCCTCCGCCGCTTACCTGGATTTCTGGGGGTCCGCCCTCGTCGCGGACCAGAAGCAGGTAGCTCCGTCCGTCCACCACCACTTCCTTCTTGAACCTGCCACCTGCCGAGAGAAGATGGAGACTGGGAAGAAGAGCGCAGCGAAAGGAAGAAGGGGGAGGAAAACGCTTACCTTCGGGAGACTCGTCCGGCACGTAGGATCCGGTCAGGTAGCGATGCACCAGCGCCGACTTGCCACTGTTTGGACTGCCGACGATTCCCTGGGAGGAGAGAAAAGGGAGAGCGTGGGGAAGGTCAGGAGGGGGCCTCCTTCCCCGCACTTACCAGTCGGATGTCGGGCACCGATCCGCTCAGCGTCCACTCCTGGCTATTGACGAAGGAATCTGCCAAGAGAAAATCGGTGGGAAACAGCGGGGGTCGGGCGTTCACTGCCCCCTTCCGCCGGGGGAAGGTCCGAGCGGCACTTCGTCCCTTCCGGCGGCCAGAATCTTAATCTGGCAGGAATTTTCGCCTGGAGCGAGAACGGCCGCCGCTGACGGGGAAGGCGCATCCCGCCCCCGGAGAAGTTTCAGACGTGGAAAGGGAAAAAATGCTCGAATTCGTTTCGTCAGACCCCGTGGGCGGGGGACGGAACGGATCCGAGATCCGGATCCTTCGACGGAAGGGGGAGGAGTTGCGCGCGTTGAGCCGGCGCCGCCCCTTTCCTCTGGTAATTGCCCGCGCCTCCTGGGAGAAAGAGGTGAGGCAAAATCTTCGCGCCGGAAAACGGAGGTCCTCCGCCCGGAAATTCCGGTGTTAAAGTTTCGCAAAGAGCAAAGACTAAGATTTTTAACAGCCGACGACTCTTCATTTAAATAACGCGAGTCGACCGCTGTAAACGGAAACGTCTTCGCACATCGCATCGCGCTTAAACTAGGAAAAATATTAAGGCGTGCAGAAAGTGGGGCGGGGGTCATAAGATGGCACGCGGGTCGAATGGACGCGATAGAGGTCGCTCCCGTCGAAAGCGTCCGAAATTCCTCCGGAGGACGACGCCCGAGCGCCGTAAGGGGAGGGCGGGAGCGTCCGGCGCGGTCCGACCCGAAAGCGGAGGAGGAGGAAGAGGGCGCCGCCGTCGGAGGCGGGCCCGGCCCGGGGACCGCCCGCGTCTGGAGGGGGAGGGCGCCTTCCCGGGCGGAAGGAGGAGGGAGCGGCGGCGGCGCGGAGCGGAGAAAGGAGAATGGACGTACCCTCGACGCCGACGACGTGTTCGCGGATCCGTCGGGCCAGCGGCGGGTCGGGCACCAGCTCCAGGAGGTCGTAGACGGCGTAGATGCTGGGGTGGACGCTCTCGAAGCGTCGGATCTCCCTCCGGATGGCCGGCGAGTGACCGTGGAAGGGACGCCGTCCCCGACTCCGGCCGTTCATCTCCCGCCGCCGTTCTTCCTTTCTCCCGGCGACGCCTCCGTCGGCCTCGCGCCGCCTCCGGGAGCGAGAGTAGCGGCGCCGCGCCTGCGCCCTGGCCCGGCGGAACCGGAAGCGGAGAGGCCGCCTTCCCTTCCGGCGCAACGCCGTGGGCGGGGCCTCTCGGACCGCGTGACTCGATAACGCTCGAATTTCCCGTCGCCTCGAGTATCGACCGGCAACTATCGACTTTGTTTACAACGGAGACACACAAGGGTGAAGCATTTGGAAAACAAGGCGTTTAAACATTGTTTTCTAGTCTGCTGCTTACTGCGTACTGTTCTAACGAATATTCCTTTGTATTCTTTTCCTCACTTGATTCCACGTTATCCATACATTGTGTGGGGGGACACGATTTTGTTCACTCTCTTTCAAGCTTAACTCCCGTGCGTTTTGTCGAAAATTTCTGAATTTTTGTTTATTAGGGGAGTCGATACTATTAAATTTTGGCCATTAAAGGTCCGGGGGATGGGGACATAAAGGGGGTCGTGTGTATCTCGAGTAGGGACGGACTTAATGACGATTTTACTGGTTATTTGCATCAGTGCACCCCAGCAGAGCACATCGTCATCTTCGACCATACATCCTGTAACTAAGCCATCACACGTTGGAAAGAGTTCTGTATTTTGATCGCTGGCAACACTCCTCCGCACCTCGTTAACAAAACTTATTACATACTTTGCATTGATTCTAACTCGCTGATCACGTGAGGAACCATCACTTCTCTAAGATTTTAAAGCTGCTGAAGGACTGAGTATCTTTGGCAGACGGAAACGTCGAATCGACGTAACTGAGGTTTTCAATTAACCGTAATTGTTAATTGCGTCTTGTGGAGAGGCGTGGAGATAAACCTTTTTACTACTACATTTTCTTCCTTTTGCCTCCACATTTATATAAGATCTAAATCTCCCCTGGCGCTTTTGAGCTTCTTAATATTAAAAGGAGAAATTTTCCAATGCGGCTGATGTACTCCAGGAAGTTACATGTTTAAGAATGAAATTATTTCTTAATTATTATACTTTTCCATCTCTGTAGCGAATTCTCAATGTAGGGAACGATTCGGCTCGGTCCTTTAAGAGTTCGCTATATCGAGGGTCTACCGTATATGTGCTATATAATGGCAAACGTTTTACTTTCCCGGCTGTTACGTATACATAACAAAGTATTGGAATCGTGTCAAATTTGATCCTCCACGTTTTGAGACCTCCTGAATACAAAAAAAGTAAAATAAAATTCCATGGATGTGTGCGCGCGTGCGTGCGTGCGTGCATTGGCGTATTCAAGATGGGGTGAAGATTAAGTAACGAAATTTGGCACGGTGGCTCGTATACGAAGTGCATTGATGCTATTAAATCTTGGTAATTAAAGGTCGAGAGGTTGAGGAGATAAAGCGGTGTCACGTATCACGTCTCGAGAAGGGTGGAGCTTAATGAAGATTTTATTCGGTATTAACATTTATACGTTTTTATAAAATTCGTCCCTACCATCAGAATTAAGCTTTTAGCTATTTTATACTAATTAAAACTATAAAAAGTTTTTTTTATAACAAAATCTCGTAGCAGATGGCGCCAAGTACAATTTTATTTATTTTGCTTAATAATATAAAAGTTCTTTTTTTACATAAAAATTCATAACAGACGGGAAAGTTACGCAACTCTCGTTACTAGATTTTAAGAAGAGACCCAAATTACTTTTGGCTGCAGGTCCCCGAAATGCACGAGCGGTAGCGGATTACCCAACAGGCACACCTGGGTATCGTCGTCCCGAGGGGCCTAAAAGTTATATATATAAATATATGTAAGTAAGTATATAATTATGTTATTTGTTTAATGAATATCTTAATTATTATTATTTTACTTTCTCGGCTGTTATATATAACAGAGGGAAAGTAAAAGAATAAGGAGCAATTATTTATTGTGACATCGTCACAATGCCGGGCTGCAATTTTTAATCATAGTTTTAATTTATTTAAGTTTAAATATATGCTCTCCATCCCAAATTAGTACCAGTGTCTTGCCCCCGTACAATATACTTTTCCTTTAACAATAGAGTCGTGCTTGTCATCTATTAACTGCTTTCGGGGGGATTTTTGAATTTAAATAACGTTACCTCCGGTTTGCATCACAAGTTCGTATATAGTTAGTCGGGGCCTCCTGCCCCTAAGGTTTTCATCTATCTAAATCCGTTCTCGAGATTATAACAAAACTGCGCTTATGGCCTCGAAGGAACATAATCCGCTACTGTGCCCGAGCGGAACTATCCATCTTTCGTGATTCTTTAATGAAGTGACGAGTCGAAATATCACACGTGAGGTCATCTAATCAGTGGCACGTTGTTTCGGAGGCCCAAAGGAAAATAAATTTTAGGAATCCCCTCGATAATAGCACCTATGATTTACTCGTAGACACTACAATCTTGAGGGCAACCGGGCAGGCACATATTGTGGAAGGCGCGCACAGTATCTTCCACCCTTACCTACACCAGAATTCCACTATCTACTGTCCATGCCTGAAGATGGCAACTTTAAATTTTAGGAATCACGAAGCTCTCAACAGCTGTACCTAGGCAGGCGTCGCTGTAGTGTCTGGTACCTTCAGGAATTAGATGCTTCATACCGTTAACTATGACCAATTTCTACGCAATATCCCGATAATCCGGCACTTTGGGGTCGCAATAAAGACGAACTGTTAGATATGACGATTATGATGCAGTATAAGCCGGGTTTTATCTAATATATCCAGGGTGTATTTAAAAGTATTTATGGCGCTTATACTTGCAAATGAATGGGAGCTTCAACAGCAAAATAAAATGGCAAACAGAGGAAGTGGCACGTTTGTAATGTTGGCTTTTTTCTCTTTTTTTCTTAAGATACTAGCATGTAACAAGTTGTAAATAACTCATGTTTCTTTTGTTGAAAATTTTTGAAATTTTGCAGGGAAATTTGTGTATTAGGGACATCAATGCTATTAAATTTTGGTGGTTAAAGGTTGTGAGAATGGGAAGATACAGGTTCATGAAAATTTACCTATTATTCGCATTTACAATAATTAATAATATAAAATGTTTCTCAATAAAATTTTGTAACACACAATTTTAAGTTTTCCTAGGAAAGTTATGCAACTCGTTGCAGAAAAAAATATTTGTTTTTTGTCATGGATTCTGTGTACTCCACTGCTATTGGGATACTCTAATAAAATTTTAATTACTATGCATATGTAGCTAGAACTACTACTAAGATTATCAGCACAAAACCTTTCTCACTAATTTCTAGCCTTATGAACAGGAGTACAAACGTTTTCGGCCTTCTTAATAGGCCTTCCTCGGGTACACTGTGGAGCGTCGGTTAGAAGAAGTTTAAATGCTGCCAATGTTTACCCAGGTATCGTCTTACCAGTGACGTCATCGTCGATGATAGGTATACGATACCGAGGGCGAAAAATACATACTTCTGGTAAAGAAGGGAGGTGTGCAGATAGGATACTTGCTAAAGTTGGTATCTGCACACCTCCCTTCTTTACCAGATGTATGTATTTTTTGCCCTCGGTATCGTATACCTATCATCGACGATGACGTCACTGGTAAGACGATACCTGGGTAAACATTGGCAGCATTTAAACTTCTTCTAACCGACGCTCCACAGTGTACCCAAGGAAGGCCGTTTGTACTCCTGTTAATAAAGCTAGAAATTAGTGAGAAAGGTTTTGTGCTGATAATAAAATTTTAATATTTTGTTAAGTAAATTTCTATTCGTTATTCGTTTACACGGTAAATTTTATTACTACTACACTTCTTATTACATTTGTACTTGTGGTCATCCCATATACAAAATAAATGTCTAGATAACAAAATGACCAAATTCACTATCCACTACACCAACTTAATCTATGTATTACAATTCTACAGATAGCAAGGGGGAGAGAAATATTTAATAGTAGTAACTATTTACCATTAAAGTATTCAAAATTAAATGAAATGTCTTCTTCTGGATATGTCAATTCCAGTTCTTCTAGCAGTTCTCCCAATAATATGACCATGACTAAATTGTGCACCTCTGCAACAGACTTCTCTGGCTGATCATAAATTCCCCCATTAAAAAATAGAAATTCAGTAAATTTTCAGATATTTTTACTGTTTCCACCCCAATTACAGATTTCATTTTACACATATAAAGATTTAAAAAATATACAAAATATAGAATAAATGATAAAAAAGAAAGGAGGAAAGGTTTCTGTACTTAATTTTCGGTGACTAAATTCTGTGCAAATCAAAGGATATTATTCTCTATTCTCTGATTCAATTGTTTTGTTAATTGAATTCCTTTTAAACTTACTTTAATGAAGGATTAAAGGATGATGGCATATAGATGGCAAAATCAAGACTAAGCACAAACTGTCTATTGTTGGGGTTGGAGGGAACGACTGACCAAACTGTTTTGGACCGTGTTGACAAGCGTTGGTTTGTCCTTCATTTTGCTGCTGGTGCGCATCAGCCTTAACTAGAAAAAATGGGCCTCTGTGCTAACCTTTCTCCTGTGCCGGGTGACTATTCCACAAGCATGCAGACAGATTACTCTTCCAAAGGACTGTCATACAAGTTTTCATTTTGTCGAAAGTACTGCGTGTCTATTCGACTGACCAATTTCAGAAGATTTTCAAAGTTTCTGACAATGGATGCCAGTCCATTGTCTGGAAGGGCCGTGGTCAGAATGCCCATCAAATGGCCATAAACCAGGGCGTCAAGCTCGGTTGGTCTGAAACAAAAAACAAAGATCTCAAAATAAATTTACTTCCTTATCACACAGAAGCTCTACAAGGTGTTGAAATATCCAACAACATTAAGTAAAATTAGATATTCAAATTTAAAAAGTGTTTAAATTTGAATATCTAATTTTACTTAATGTTGTTGGATATTTCTGCTTTGAGTATTTAGGCAGACACAATTGTCTTTACATATTTTGGAAAAAGCAAGATCTTGCTAAAAGTATGGCTTGGACAGGTTTGTTAAAGCCGTTTTTTTCTATAATTCTAATTCTATAATTTGAAAATACAAGAATTGTCAAAGTTCCTAAAGCTGAATGAAACAGTTTTCTTCTCATTAAAACACATGGGCTACGATAAACCAAATAGTAGAGAAAATGCATCAATTCTGTTAAAAAGGTATTGAAAAGGTCAAGAAGTAATCAGTAAAAAATTTATCAAACTATTTTATCTAATCATATTTAATTACTGTAAGCATGTTACTGCTCTCTCGTTGGAGTTCTGCAGTTCTACAACCAGGAGCTACCTACTCTTTTAAACTGGAGTACAGTGAACTGCCATATAACGCGCTCCATTCTAACGTGAATTCAAATAATGCAATGAAAATTTTGCAACTAGAACTCAGAGTGCGATAAACAGTCCCGTATAGCACATAAGATAAAGTTAATGTTTTCACATAGTTTGAGATTTTTTGTTTAGAAAAGTGAAAATATACATGTACCAGTTATTTATACAGGGTGCATAGGAAAGTCCCTTTAACCAGAAAATTCTTGTGAATGGAGAGAGCTACAGCTATGCAAGTGAGGTAACAGTACAGTAAAGCGACTATGCCCGACCTAATGCAAATGACAGCAGTGCCCCTAGTGGCAAAATTTGAAAGATAGGCAGTGCAAATTGAAAACAAAAAACAGATAGAGCAAACTTTCCAATTAGAAAGTTTTAGAGCATCAGTTAATTAGTATGAAATGACATGTGGTTCACACGGATAAAATAAACTGTCGCCTGTATACCCAAAAATGCCCGAAAGCAATACACGCCATTTTGTGTAAACGTTTGAAAGGAATAGCCATAGGTATGAAGAAATACATACAATTTATTGCATAAAATACATACTTATGTCAATACAGTTTGATGATAATGGCGTGTATCCTGAGCAATGGCAAACTTTTCAAACATACTTGACATTAACTTGTTATCACTGTGTGACAGTTTGCCTTTCCGTTGTTTTTTGTGTGATGTTATCAAACTGTACCGACAGAACATATATTGTGAAAGATGAGACTTCCTTTTCTGGTTTCAATGCATCAAAAGACAGGATAACTTTACTTTTGTGTTCTAATGCAGCTGGAGATCATATAACTAAGCCAATGTTAACTAAGCATACATTGAGCCCATGTGTAATGAAAAATGTAGTCAAATCAATGCTTCCTGTTCACTGGAGATCTAATAAAAATGCATGATTACATGCAAAATGTTTAAAAATTGATTTTATAACTGTTTTGTAATGGAGTTCGAAGATTATTTACAACGAAAAACTTTCTGAACTGTTGGCTTCACTGTTCATATACAGGGTTCATAGGAAAGTCCCTTTAACTGGAAAATTCTTGCAAATGGAGAGAGCTACAGATATGCAAGTAAGGTAACGGTACAGTACAATCCAATACAAAACAAATTCATCTACATTATACACTTGTTCTGCTATATAATTGCCTTCCTCTATAATTTTGGAAAAATGTTTGGGAAATCTTTGACCCTTTGTGATAACAGTTAAAATTTAGAGACATGTTTGAACTTGCATAGATTGTTCCGATAATGTATGTCCCCTATAACACGAAACGTATCCCCCGCGTTATACAGGAGTTCACTGTATACTATGACCTTGTACTATGACCCTGGGCCCAAGAGTATTCCACAGTGAGATACTGGGTCTATTGTTCTAGAATCTGAAACTGGCAGTGACTGGCCATGGAGAGGACAGAAAGGATGGAAACATAGGCAATTACAGGTGTATTCTGTTTAGCTGAGATGAAAAAATAAAGATTGACTTTCAATTAAGTGTGTTTTTTTGGTATCTATGAAATTAAATAATGGCAGAGGATAATGGTAATACTAATTGGCAAATTACAATTAAATTCATTTCTATAAATTATAGCTTGCATTCATCTGGCAAGAATAATATCAAATCGCTGGCTGCAAGAACAAAAGCATACATCTGCCAATCTTTTAATCTAAAAGTTGAGTTGTCTGCAAAATATTTCAAAACGTGCTTTCTGGCACTTTAAATCTTTATCTTAATCTTTGAACTGCATAGATTAAGATCACACTATCAGGTAAGACATTAGTATTAAATGTTAAAAAAATTAGAGTGAAAAATATAAAACTATTTTAAGTTAAAAGTTTTGCCACCGTTTTAAAAAATTCCATAATTAATTGCAAATTTCCTTCCATTTCCCACAAAGTGTGTAGGCATGTAGGGTAGCAATTGCATCACTAAGAATCCTTGGGAAAAGGTAACACAATTGTACTAAGTGGACACTAGCATAAATTAACCATTAAAATGAAACATGTAAGCTCTTTGATTTTGAAAATGGATGATCAAATCTACCATTTGATGATAACAATCATCTTATAATGATGATATATCAATGGTTTTATTATTATTAATTATGCAATATCTATATTGATACTGATTTTAAACCAAAAGAGCACCATAATGAATCAGGCTATTTTGCTATTATTAATAATTAGATATTAAGTAATTTTGTATTACAGGTAGAAATTAGGTACCATCTCTTATCTAAATTAATAATTATAATAATTTAATAATTTTATTAAATAATTTAGAACAATCTGGAATAAAAGAACTAACCCAACACCTAACATCTTTATCTAATACCAAATTACTTGATGTCTAATTATTAATAATAGCAAAAATTAATTAACAGCCCGATTAATTACAGCAATCTTTTTGTTTTTTTTTAGTATCAATACACAGAGCTTCAGGAAGTTTATTATATTGATACTGATTTAATGAGTTTGGAATGATATTCATCATTAATTAATAATTAAATCTAATTATCTGTTTTCCTAATAAAAAATATAAAATGTTTTATGCTAGCAACAAAACAGTTATTTAGAGAACTTAAATTTGTTATAGTGATTAAAATTATACTTACTTTGTGCCAAAAAAATATGCTTGTTTTCCTAATCTTTCTGATAAAGCATGACAACAACTTGTTACTTCTTCATAAACCTGGTAGTAAATAATAATTCAATATGATTGTCTAATATTAAAATTTAACTAATTAAGGGAAATTTACCTCATCCAAAGTTTTATCCAACCAATGATTTGAGGCTAATTTTGACTTCATCACAGATTTCTTTTGCCAATATAAAAAATAATTTAGTGGCCATGGATAAACAGATAAACATCTAGGCTTTGTTTTCTAAAAAAAACACACATACACACATATATATATATATATATATGTATCTATCTGTGACAGAGC